GGAAATGAGTGTCATAGGTCCACACATATCAGTATGAATAAGTTGCAACACATCATCACACCTGTTTGCACCTGCATTTCTTACTTTTGCAGTAAGCTTGCCCTTAATGCAATCAACACAAGTATCAAAATCAGAAAAATTCAGATCATGCAGAATACCCTCTTTAATCAACCTCTCAATCCGAGGTCTAGAAATATGCCCCAGACGTCTATGCCACAACATAGAGGAATTTTCATCAACTCTACTACGCTTATGTCCAACAATAAAATTAATAGACATGTCATTCAGATATAACATGTAAAGCCCATCACATAAAACTCCTAAGCCAACAATAATTGAATTGAAATAAATAACAAGTTTGCCATTGCCAAATTCAAAAGTGTAGCCACATTTATCCAAAGCTGAAACTGAAATTAAATTCCTTCGCATAGAAGGTACATAAACAACGTCTTTCAATAACAAAACATGTCCAGAAGGTAAATTTAAAGACACTACTCCTATGTCTTCAACTTGTGCTCTAGCTCCATCTCCCATGATAATCTTGGATTCAAGGTCACTTGGTTTTCTTAGGCTTGTGAACCCCTGTAAAGAATTCACAACATGAATAGTAGCACCCGAGTCAAACCACCAAGAATTGGGAGGAACATCAACAACATTGGATTCAAAACAAGCTAGAACAAACATGTGCTTACCTTCCTTACCAACATTCTTCTTCTTAAGAATATAACAATCAGTTAGCTTATGTCCAAATTTCTTACAATAGGCACAATTCCCCTTAAAGTACTTCTTCTTAGGCTCCAAACCTACTGATGCTTTCCCTGTGTTCCTCTTTTCATGGCGAGATTTGCCTTTGAAACCTTTTTTAACAGGTTTAGTACCTGAAGTAATAGTTGTGAATTGCACACTATGCGGCTTGGATTTTTTTAATAGATTCTTCCTCTTGGGAAATAATAGCTATCATCTCATCAATTGTCCATTCCTCCTTCTGAGCGTTGTAAGAAGTCTTCAACACATCAAACTGAGAAGGAAGTGATTCCATAACCCGCCAAATCAAAAAGCTGTCACCAAGCTCCACCTTTAAAGATTTGAGTTTGTTATAATAGTGCACAAGCTTCATCATATGCTCACGAACACCACTGACACCATCATTTTTGGTCTTCTCAAGAAGTGACAGATATTGACCCTTTTGAGCTTTGTCAAAAGTCTTAAACTTCTCACCCACTGATCTCAGAAAAACCTTAGCATTATCATCATCCGGAATGCTTTGTCGAATAGACTTCTCCATGGTGTATTTCATCACCATCAAACACACCCTATTTGAGTGTTCTCATTTCTCACGATAAGCTCTTTGGACAGTAGTGGACTCAGGAGTAAGAGCTGGAGGCTCGTTCTCTCTCAAACAAAGGGTCCATATTGGTAATTGCCAAATACAAATCCAGAGATTCTTTCCAATCCTCAAAATTTGTCCCATTTAAAGTTTTGACCGAAGTCAATTGCATAGGCAAAGAAGCTGGAATTAAAATAACAAAGAAACATTTAATACGCACAATTATTGTGCAAATAAATAAAATAAATGTCTCTAAATACACAATAAAACATGTTTATGATATCAAATTTCTCATTCACTATGACCCCGCCTAAGGGTCCCGAGTCATAATAAATAAGAAATATAATTAAAATAAAAAATAAGAATACAATGCACATCTCATGTCACAAGAAATCTAATACTGATAGGGTACAAGACAAATAATTGACATAATAAAATTCAAAATTACATTGTACCAAATAAAAAATACAATGCACATCTCATGTACTAGAAATCTAATACCGATAGGGTACAAGACAAATAATTGACATAATAAAATTAAATAAAATAAATAAATTATTTTATTTTTACAAAATAAATAAATTATTTTATTTTCACAAAATTTCATATAACCGTACCCATGATAGATGAGTTCACAATCATATAAAATTATATCATGCTTATAATGAAGTTATATGATACATGAGTTCACTAGCATGGTGGCGGCGACGGTAGTTTACGCAACGGCGTGGTGGTCTGCGACGGTGGGTATCTGCATCGTCGTCTTCCTCAGCGCACCTCCTGTGTGCGCGTCCCTGCCGACGAGAACCAGTGGCCCGCAAACTCGCTTCACCTTCGTTGTGCATGCGTCTCCCTTTATGGTGGCTGACGTGGCGTTTTTATGTTCTCTTGAAGGATCTCGCAAATTGCGGTGGTGATGCGAGGAGAAGAAGAGTTGGGTGTCTGCGTGATTCAAACAATTATGTATCGTTTTGTGACGTTTTATTGTTAAATTCCTCATTAAATTAAATTAAAATTTTATATTTTGTAATATATTAAAAAGATGGTTAATTAATTATATAATATATATATATATATATATATATATAATAAATTATATAAATACAACACAACGATGAAATGATAAACATATATAATCAAGACAATATTATGATTTAGTTCTATTCATTATCATTTTATCCATGAACATAAACATAATATAAAATAAAAATGTTTGCAACTCGATTTGATTTATTTTTTATTGAATAATCACTTCAACTAGACATAAAAATTAAATATAATTCAATTTATATTTAATATAAAACAAAACTCAGTTTAATTTAAATCGATTACGTGATTTTTTTCACTGAATTTTTTTTTAAATAAAAGAACACAAAAAAATATTAAACATTTATAATAAAAAATTCTCGAATAAAAAGATATATTGTGAATTATGATTATTATTATATTTATGGTTTCTATTTCTCTTATATCTATAAATTACAATTACAACCCAAAGTTATTATCGTCTTTCTAAAAAGTATAAATAAAATATAAATAATAATGTATTTTTATTAATTGATAACTAGTTTTAAATGTATAATATTATATTTAAGTATTATCTTAAAGTATATGTAATCATCATAGTACTGTTAAATTTATTAAAATGATTTTAAAATAAATAAATTAGTTAAAATATACACAAAATTAATTACTTACAATTTAAAAAATTGAGATTGTGTTTGAAAATAACATAATGAAAGTTAGTTTTAATAAGAAAAAAATGAAAATTGAATATGTTCCTGATTTCAGTCCAGTCTATCTCCAAATCAGCCCAATAGGCCGAATTCCCTGCTATGCAATGAGTGTGACCCATACAAAGAGAATCGCTTCACTAACTCAAGTTATCTAGTAACTACCATAAAAACACCTCCCTTTTAACATGTAACTTCTAATTATTTAACACATTTTTCAATTTTTAAAAGAGCTTAAAGTATCAAACGTGCCTTATTGGATAATCGAACCTTATCACTCATTTTATACACCTTTGCGTACCTAATTATAAAGGGAACATATATATATATATATATATATATATATATTCTTTTTAAGAACATTTTTAATGGAAATTACTATCTTAAATTTAAAATCCAGATACTATTAAAAACTCTATTGAAACATGTCATGTAGTATAATAAATATTTTAAAATTAAGATCTAAATTTATATAAAATTTCATATCTTAAGAATAAAAAAATGATTTTTAATATAAATTTAAACCACCAATTTGAACGATAAAATAATTGTCCAAAATGACATTATTAAAACTTTCAAAAACAACAAAAAAACTTATATTCTTTTATTTATGTAAAATTATTATTTGTTGTGTTTAATAATATTGATTAAATACAATTATAATAATTGATTTATTTTCACAGTATGTAATATTTTTTCATTTTGTTATAATATTAATTTTTTCATATATTTATATCACATTAAATTTATACTTAATTATAATAATTCAATTAATTTTTTAAGTTGTAAAAAACTAAATTATAATGTGAGTCTAAATAAAACCTCACCATTAAAATAAAATTTTAAAAAATAATTTAGAATAATATAACATGATGAGATCTACGTAAAATAAAATAAAATTTGATAAAGAAATTTTAATAAAACCCTTATACAAGAAATGTTCTAACACTTACATGTAAACGCTAATAATAAACTGACTTTTAAGTATCATAGTCCTTGGAAGAATTCACCCTTTCTCATGGATGCAGACTTTGACGCAAAAGCTATGAACCACTTGTTTGTACATACAATAAATTAAATGTGATTTCATCGCAAGTTGTAAGTATTAGACATGTATCTAATTTAAAGTATAACTTATTTACGTTATTTTGTTTTTAAATTTAGTCGAAATAAGAATTTTATTTTTAACACTATTTTTTTTTCCGTTTCAAATATTTATTACTTATACCCTCACATTAATTATTTTTAATCTTATTCAAGTTGTTCGCTTATTTAAAATCTAAGTTACTCTTACACTTATTTATTTCACTTAACCATATATATATATTTCCTATAATAATTTTAAAGGTTTCCTTTTAAGTATATTTTATATTTTAACCTAGAACTATAAGGTAGCTTAATAGTGTATAGGATACTTCTTAGTTAATTGACTAGCAAATTGTAGATGTGAAATACATTAAAACGCATTGCAAAGTTTATATTACTAATTTATTAATTTTACTAAATATAAATGTCAACCTAATTGAAAATAAATTTAACCTTACCATTTTTACCGAAATTCATCTGTACTTAAAGTGAAAAAAGGTTTCAAAATTAAATTACTTCATATTTTAAAAATAAAATAAGCACATGAAATATTTAATTTCAAACAAACTCCAAAAGAAAGATTAATAATTACAACAAATCAAAGTAATTTGACACTGAAATATACATAATCAAAATCAATTTGAAACAAAAAAAAAAAGTGAAAAAAGACCACAACCATGTTTAGGCAGCTATATAAGAAGCTGTTCTAGCAATAAAAGTAAATGAAATTAGTAATACTATACATAAAATATGTATCAACTTGAGGTTAGCCAGTAAGATTAGCCTGTTCAATACTGAACACGAATTCAACAGTTAATTTAAGTCAGCTGTGTAAACAAAAAGTTTCTTGATTATTAACCAGAAGAATTCTTCTTCACTGCATATGCACGACATGCTGCCAAACCAACAACTGCCATTGCAGTCCCAACTGTAAATTCAAGATAGAAAATCATTTAAAAATCAACAATTGAACAATATACAGATGCTTTTGAGAACTTACGGTTTATGGATTTATGAATCATGCAGCAAGTTCTAGTGGAAGGTAAGCCAAGAGAAACACACCTGAGGCAAAAACAAGAGAGTGCTGAAGAAGACGATGGTATTGCTTTCTTTTCCTCCCAATCTCAGTTTCTGGAATGCTTAAATGAGGGTGCTCAGCAGCATGGACAATCTTATTGTACACGTTACTTGAATCGCCTAATTTCATACTTACGTGAATCGGTGCCTCTATTCCCAATTCCTGAGTAACCTATAGCAAAATAAAATGGAAGATTGTAGCATCCTAAACATGAAGATTTAACTATGAAATAATGCATAAAAATGACATATTCAAATATTTCATGACATTGAGTTAATATGCAAAACCTTTACTGAATCTTGTACTGCCCTTGGATATGGAGTTAAATCATCCTTAGCAGCGATAAGGAGACAAGGAACTCTATAACCAGTTAGATCTCCTTGTCTAGCAACCTTCTCAAGCAAATCTCTGGATTTCTTCCATGAATGTTCATCTGAGCTGGAAGAAGGAAAGAAAAAAAGCAAAAGTGCAAAACTAAGATACAGAGCAAAATGCCAAATGCAACAATCAATTAAACTGGGTCAGTTCATTTAAGGGAAATTCAACATTAGAATGGACATTAGCAGAACCTCAAAATATGGAACGGTGGTACTAATAAAAGTATCTCACAACAATTTTTTTATAGCCTTAACATGAATTTGAGCCTTGCCTATAAACAGAACAAAGAATGATGTAAGGTTCCTGTTTAAGATAAAGCCCGTGTACAAATGGACTCCGATTAAATTTTCCTCAAAAGACATGTCCACATGAGCCATCTTGTCTCATCAATGAGCGCCTCTCTTTCCCCACCTGAACTCTCCCACCCATCTTCTCTTCCACTCTACATGATCCCAGCACATTGATCAACTCAAAAAATGATTACTTTTCCTTCCACGAAGATAATGTTCCTTGAATCGAGACGAAAATGAGAATATTTACAACATTTTTTAGAAAAACAAACCTACTTATGCTTAGAATTTAGAATCAAATGCAATTCTCAAGACTCTTTTTCCTTGTCTCTTGCTTATGTTGGAAAAAAAGTTTTCTAAAAAACACATAATATAATATTTCAATTTAAATGTCATACTGATCAAGCAACACCCGGATTTGAACTTGGGAAAAAGGATTTCCATCATGTCGCTAATAAACATATATATGAAATAAATACCCCCTTTTTTTCTGTTGAAAAATTGATAAACAATTACCTTCTTGATTCCCTTCAAAGAAAATGCATCAAAGTGGCTAAAAGGCAAGCGTCTAAGTTTATCTTGTAAATTTGATAGGTTGAACACACATGCGTACATACCTACATACATGCACTCCCACACATATAGAGAGAGAAAGAGGAAAGATCAAATTACTCTTAGAGTAACTTAAAATGAGATACTCTTCATCTAACACTTCATTTTTCTTCTTATTGGTGAGGATGTAGAGTAACTCTTAATCAAGTTATTCCCATGTTAACTAAAGTTATTCCTCATCAATATCTTTCATTTTCTCCTAATCTAAATTAGATTAAGAGAAAATGAAGATTGAGGAAGAGGAATAATTCTCTTAGAGTTAGAGTTACTTTAGGAATAACTTGATCCCTCCATGTATATATCATTGGTTTTAATATTTTCTTACAGAGCCGCAATGGAGATTTATATTCTGGCATCATTATACCACAAATGATCAACTCAACAATATTTCTTTTGGACATTTAATAAAAGTTTCGCCGAGTATACAAAAGCCTTAACAAAAGAATATTAGTTAAACCGACAAATATGGACTAGTCTCAAGCTCCAAACAGGGTAAGAAGCTGGAAACCATGGAGAGAAGCTGGTTGGGAGAGTGGAAGAGAAAATGTTGATGTAAGCCACGAGAGGGAGGAAACAAAAAATGGTCATAAGGGATTTTAATGAAAGATTTGATGTCAACCATTCATTTTGATTGAATGAATATTCTTAGTTTATTATATCCCGTCATACTAATCATTCCTATAACTTGATATGCTCATTCTTCCAAAAAGTTGAGAATCGTGTAAATGCAAGCCAAATTAAAATTCATATCATCAATAAATTAAAATTGTTAATCAATGATTAAGTTTTTATAATTTACTGTGTGGTTCTAATTAGCAAATAACATCACATCGATAACTAATAGGGTAACAGACCATGCAAGGCAGGTATTTCAAGGGATCTTAAACAGAACCAGATCTTGTGTCATTGCAGGCAATATGGCACAAAATAAATTTAGGCAGTTAATTTATACATCAATACACGCGATACCAACGTCACTTCAACACATTATTTTAATCTACTGCCCATAAATATGCTGATTACAGCAAAGCAAGGTGCAAAACACCATTCCAACAGTTTAAATGTAGCAAAGCCTTATCATATAAACGCATTTTACACCATACCTGTCGTACACAAAAACAGCTACATCACATGCTGCCAAATAATCCTTATTTGACAAAACATTTGATACTTTACTCTCTGGTATCTCCCGCAACACAAGAGTTTTTCTGATTCCCTATATAGCAGAAGCCAACACCGGGAACATGAGTATATAGATTGCATACTGTACCCAATTTCCTCGACAACATCTATGTGACTCCTATATTCACTAATAAAGCATGAGAGAAAGACATTTTTCAAAATCATTTAAATAACTGTAATGTTTTGACATCATGATACTCACCCCTATTAATTCAATGGCATTTACTGCAAACCTCTCAACTGTTGTTGGAATGCAATTGTTTGAGAACCGCCTGTTGAAAATGGTGCTAATTGTTTCTTAGAAAACATATATAAACAGTAGGAGAGAATGAAACTCACTTACTGATAGATCAAAATATATTTAAAGACACACTGACTATGGTGATTAGTTCAGAAGCACACCTTCCCACCAAAGAATCCAACAGAGCAGACTTCCCGGCATTTTTAGAACCAAAAACATAGCATTGGAACACATTCCTTTCTGTTGCTTGCTTCTTGCGATCTACTGCTCTTCTACGAGTAACACGGAGAGCTGCCGCAGGATTACCACTATATCCAACGTAAATTAAATTAGCCAGGCTACATGGTGGATCAAGTAATGTCATTAGGGCCCACTGCATCATACAATTTAATATCAATAACTAAATCATTCTGAAGAATAACACAACAGTATAAATTATCCCCACCTGTGACAAGAATCCATTAAGAGATAGGTAACCCATGTCAGTTACCTCAGCAGCATCCTCATACAGAGCATCATTCCATGGACTGAAATCACAACCATGTACCAAAACTAAGATGGACGACATAATGAGGAAAAACTAACTAAAAATCATTTAAGATTATCACAATTGAAAAAGGAAACAAAGTGAATAATATGCAAAGTACACTTTTGAACAGTAGAATAAAAATCAATATTATTTATCATATATGCTTTAGCTGAAAAACTTGTAAAATAGTAATGTTTCCAAAGGTAACACTCTGTCTTTTATAGGATTGTGAAAAAAAGGGCTGTTTTTGAGCTCTCATAATGCAGAAATAAATAGGTGCTTCATGCTGCACAAACACAGACTTTGGCAAGAAACAGTAAAAACAGAATTATTGTAAAACATAGAATCTCCTGAGTTGCTTCTCATATCCTGAATTGTTAGTGATGTCTCCAACATACTGATTGCTTCAATTAGTCTTTAGATCATGTTTAGAAACACTTATAAAGGAACAAATAAAAATATAAAATGAAGTGAACTTTTCTCGAAAGCTAAAATCAACTTACGCACTTAAGTGTTATAGAAGTTTTTCTCATCTAACTTCCCCAAAAGCTTAGATGGATAAGTTGATTTCAGTTTGTGGGAGAAGCTCAACGCCTTTTACATAATATTTTTTACTTTTCTAAGAGTGTTTATAGGAAAGTTTGTCCAATAGGGGTCCTAATTAGATTTATACACTTCCTGATATGACAAAATTGGTTTCTACCAAATCACATATATATCTTGTAAAGCAAATATAAAATAGTCCAGCAAGTCCTATAGTATACTTTTATGAGAAAAGATTCTCATCCATTATTGTCTCTGAAAGAGAAGAAAAACTCAACTAAAAAAGAAATGTATTTACGTTATGTTTGTTTCGAGTGATGTAATGTTTAAGTGGATGAAAGAACGAGTGCGGATCTTATTTGTTTCAAATTATATGCTAGGATTTGAAAGTGTGGATTTGAGGGAGGGATTGGATGCAGCTTCTTCACGGGGATGAGGAGATGAGAGGAGAAATACACGTCACCTCTTATAATTTTTCACAATTATCCTCCTTTCAGTTTTTACTATTTGGATGGTAGAGATGCATGCATGCAATTCGTAGCATAGATTCTTGGTTGATGTTGTTGTTCGATGCCATTGGGGAGTACCTTAGAGAGGTAAGTGCAGAAGGAGTGGTAACATGTATGGTTAAAAACGGATTGTAGCTGTAGAGAACCGATTATCGGTGAAGGAGAATCGATTCTCTTCAAACAAGAATTGATTCTTGGTGGGATAATAAAGTGAGAATCGATTTTTGTCTAATGATAATCAATTCTTGGTGAACATAATGAAGTGAGAATCGATTCTCATGTTTAATAATAATAATAATATCTATAATAATAAATATATATAATAATTATTTTAATAATAAAAAATAATTATAATTATAATCATAAAAATAATTATAATAATAATCATATATTAATAATTTTTAAAAAATTAAAATAATTAAAATAATAAATATATAAATAGTAATGATTATTATATTAATAATAATACTAATAATTATTATAATAATAATCATATTAATAATTAAAATAAAAAAATAAATAGTTATAATAGTTTAAATAAAAATAATAATAATTTTTATAAAAGGATAATTTGGTCATTTTCAAAAAAATGTATTAAAACATTTTTTTTTACCATTTATATCAATCAAATCACTCAAACATTCTAAAATTTTCCTCTCATTTCCCTACAATTCTTACCATCTTTCCATTAATCCAAACAACCCCACTTTCATCTCTCTTTCCCTTCAAATTTATCCTTTTCCACTCCCTCAAATCCATCCTCTGGTCCAAACAAGGGCTTAGAGATAAAACACAATATGCAAATAAAATATTTTATGGATAGATTTATTAATATTTAATAGTGTACTAACCATATTGAAATTAAGATATGTAGTTAAAATAGCATATATGGTTTCAATTTAGGGTTTATAATGATATGCTGCATCAGTAATTAACAAAAAATGCTCTCCATACTCCCTAACAAGAATAAGAATCACATCACAATTATAGAGGTTACAATTTCTCTAGTAATAAAAATTATTCACTCCCCAACTGTAAGACCAAAAAGATTTTCATACACGAACAGTAAGCAAAATGATAATGACACTGGTACCAATGGCCCAATTGGTTAAGATTTTCGTTTAGAAAAATAGTTGCTTTGCTTTATTTTTCAAAACCTCTCAAGAAGCTGCAGAAATAAAATGGATTAATTCCTTAAAATAAACTAATCCAAAATGTACTATGACAACCTACTCACAATCAGTTAACAAAAAGGCAAAAAAAACTACACAAGTTCAAAAGAGGTAGATTGAAAGACAAGGGGAAAAAAGGCCAAAATCCCTACATAATAGGTCTACAAGAAAAATCTAGAGCCTAGAACCAACCAAAGTTAAATTTCTATAGTAATGCAATTGGCATTACCAACTACATCAGTGAACAATTATGATCACCTAAGAACTAAATTGAATTCCAAAAGAGCATGACTCACTATTACCCAATCAAACAATTTGCAGTTTACACTTTTTAGGTTGCCTCTTCTTTTTTTTACCTTGTAAAGTATATTTAATTCCTATCAGTCTAGAAATCATGAGATAAGCATAAAGACAACATCAATCACAACTTAATCATAGAATTGCACAAAATCTCTAACCAACACCTGTAAAGGGCCTAAGGTTTTCAAGAGGCAAGTCATTTATTACTTAACCTGAACATTTTACAGGAAACAAGTCCATTAATTCCCAGTGAGCATAAGAACTATGTTATACTTATACAGGAATGATTACTCAGATTTGTTGAAGCTACAAATTATCTTAAAAATTTCCTCCTATGACTGAAGCAATAGCTAAAACTTTTAGAAGCAGTCGATCAAATCTAGAGTTCTACATCAACAATAAGAAGTAATTTAGTTATGCAGACTAAATATGACATTAATGAGATACTGGTTATAGAAGGGAAGGGACAATCAAAAGATGAGTTCACTTTTTATTTTTCTATACAGGGAAGGTTTAGGAAGAGGGAGGTAGCAAGTTCACCTTTCTGGAGCAGTACCAAATAACTTATCAACTTCAGTAGGCCGTAGGGCTCGATCCTAGAGAGTACCAAGGTTCAAGCAAATAGATAAAAAAGTATATTAGATATGGAATACCACCTAAAAAGAATATAGAGACACAGGGGGCTAAAACACATAATAGAGGTCAAGGAGATGATAACAAAAACATTACTACATACTTTATCTGTATCTAACAGCCGAAAGATACCATTTAGAAACTCTACAGCTTCACCTGTCAGCTCCACACTCTGTAAGATTATGTTTACAAAAGTAAATACTTCATATAATTTGAAAGTTTAACAGGAAAATTAAAATAACTTCTCAACAATTAGTAATAAATTAATGACTTAAAATGTTGGAAAATGCAGGATTTGGGTAAAAATGCATATTATCATGTGCTTCTTTGAAAACCATTTGACTCAACAAAATATTTGCTTCTCTTTCTCCACGTAACAAGGAATAAAAGCATTCACATTTTAATTGTCCTTCTAGAAGAAAATGTTTGTTTCTGTTTCCTATCCTTTCAAAAGTTTAACAAAACATTAATTATTTTACACACCTATCAAAAAAGAGAGAGGTAATGGTAGAGAGAATATTAGAGTAATTAATGTGATCTTAAACTTTAGAAATGACAAATAAATAGAAACAAATTGTCCAAAAATCTGACACTTAAAAATAAACAGAGAGACTAATAGGGATAACAGATAAAAGAGATAAAGGGCATAATTACGAAAATAAAAGTAATTGTAGTACATATGGGGATCGCAATTGTATTGCTTAATATGTGAACTATAACATTATAAACCAATATAAAGAATAAGTAGGAGAACACTATATCTACCACTACAACAAACTAATTGCAAATCTAAAATCCTAAACAGCCATATTTATACAAGATGCTAGAAAGACTTGGACAATAACATGTCTCAACAGCAAGTTTAAAATCCATAATTCACTTCTGCAATTCACCAATCCCAGAGAAATAGGTTTTCACAGATAATATTTGCAAAACCTACCAGTAAATATCTAAAATTACAGTCAACAAACAAGTATAACCTGAATGTAAAATCCTAGTCTTCCCAATTTAACAGCCAAACACATTTTCTATTATTGTTAATACAAATACTGAATAACATACAGTTAATTTGTTGTATCTCTATTCCAATCTCTTCAAATTTAAACCAGACAGCTGGAATTTCCACAATAATATAACAAAGAACTTATGTATGACCTGATCCAAAGCACGCTTAGAAGGAACAGGAAGGAAATCATCCTTGAGTTTCAAATTATTATCATATCCAAAGTTTCTTAGAACAGCCCATAATGTCTCTGGACGCCCTTTTTTGAGGAACATATTATGAATAAAAATAAATCCTGGAAAAGTAAGACCAAGTGAGTTGACTCCTTCAGGTACTTTCTGCTGTACAACTGATTTGACTCCAGCTATTTCAGATGATTGCAATGATGCATTGAAACATCTAACCTGTTGGTATATTTGCATGTTTGAATAAATGGCCACAAATGAAAATAATAAATATTCAAAGCATAAGAAACAAAAAAGGAAATTGAAAAAAAATCTAAATCCAACAATAACCTGAAACTCATTTAGTTCTGCTTCATTGAGGGCTTCGTCCATGTCTCGATCACATAGAACAAATATTCTTCTCAGTGCCCTAACACATCGATCTGTTAAAGCTTGACTTCCAATATCATACAATGGATCTACTGGATGCAGTACCGCTTTTTGAGCAAAATAAAAAACTTCAGGGACCTAAAAGATTAGAATTAACATTAAATTTCAGTCATTTATGTTTTGCAAACAATAATAACTATGTTACCAAGATCGTGTCATTATATATAAATTAAAACAACTGTGATATTGTATAGACTCATGAATTTATTACTTTACACATGACTTAGGCTCTATTCCGTAAAGTTTCTCCATATTTGTAGGAAAAGAAAATAAGAGAAAAAAATGAAATAAGAGTCTTCCATGAGCTAAATTATCGTGTACACAAGTTAAAATCAGCTCTTTATAGAAGCTAAAATCATTTAGCTTCTCCAAAATGTTGATTTAATTCATGCACAAACTAATTTTAGCTCATAAGAGAAACTTGTTTCATTCTTCCTTTTTATTTTTTCTCTTCCTAGTGTTTCTAGAGAAACTTATTCAAACATAGCCATACTTGTAAAGGAGAAATGAGAACTCATTAGCTGGATTTGTTTCTATCTTTTGCACATTTTTGTATTTGATGAATAAGTATCATTTTGGACTTCAATAAACCATATGCTTTTACTTTTGCACAACGGAAATGCATTAGAAACTAGATTTACTTACAACATATTGTTGTAATGAATGGCTGTGATACAATCTACAGCATCGGCCGATACTTGAGCAAGAAAATAGATAGAATCTTATTTTCTTATATCACAAGATATAATATCTATAAATAAGTCAGTATCACCAAGTAACAATAATGCAGAGAAGCAAAATACCTGGTATTGCGTAGCAGCAGAGCATTCAATGCAGGTGACGATTTCCTTGAACTGTTGCAGGAGCTGTGTCATGAGGCGCTCCAAGCTCACTTGCTGGCTTTCATCCCTAAGATCCAGCTTGCAACCAACCACGACTACAGGCGCCTTCACCTGCATCAGTGTGTCACCAAAAAATCAACAAAAATAAATAAATTATCACTGCTGTTTACCATTCAAGGTTCATTCCTCGTTGAAAAATGCATAAAGCTGCCAACCTCCAACTTCTGCAGTTCCGGTAACCAGTAAGAACTCAACCGAGAAAACGACATCGTGTCATTGCAAGCATAGGTTAAAACCACAACATCAGCTCTTTTCAACTCCTCGTTACGCTTGCTTTGTTTGTCCAAGCTACACACAACAAAAGCACGCGCTCATTCGGAGCATAATCAAACACTTCAAATATAGAATGATCACCGCGAATAAGGCAACAATAACATGCATAATGTAGAACGAACGAAGTTCAGTCAAAAGATGCGATTCAGTTATCGCGTCTTTAATTGATCAATGGTTTCGTAAAACACGGATTGCTTCGGAAAATTTTCGATGAAATTAATGCGTGGAATTAATTGTGGAAAGTTGCGGAGCTGAAAAGAGAAGGAGGAGGACCTAGAAGGTGTGTCAACGACGGTTAGAGGAACGTTGTCGGGGTACAAATCAGGAGACAAGAGAGTGGGCGGAATAACCAGCGGAACGGACTCGGCAAATGACTCCGTCGCGATGGCAGCTATTAGGCTCGATTTTCCGGTGGCGCGATCGCCGGTGACCACCACTCGAACTCCACTGCGACCGCTGAAGCTTGAGTGATTTGCCATTCATGCGATGCCAGATAACAGGCCAAGGACGACGGGAAATAATAAAGCACCAATAATTAGAGTTTCGGGTTTAATTGCTACGGACCGATAGTTAATTTTTTATAACTTTAATTAATTATAAAATAATTTATTTTAAGAAGTTAATTAATATTAAAAAATAAAATTATTTAGTTGACCAGTATAATTAAAAGAACCTTTACATGTAAACTTTATATTTAATATTATTGTTTTAGTTTTTGTACATACTATTTTTAGAATTTTTTTGTTTTGTTTTCATCAATTAGCTAATAAAAATTTTAAAAATTGCATAAGTATAGGAATAAAAAATAAATCTTAGAAGGTATATATAAGAATTAAAATAAATAGTTTTTAAATGTAAAAAATAAATAAAAACTTTAAAATTAGAAGGACTCAATTATTAGTTAAATATATAAAAATTAATAACTTATTACATATCATCTTTTGATATATTAATTATGTTGTGTAAATAAAATAGGCAAACAAATTTAAAATAAGTACGTTGAAACAAAAATTAATATTTATCAATATTTAATCGAAGAAAAAAACATGAAAAAGATGAAAAATGAAGAATATTTATTTTTATAAACAAATAATTGTATATGTTAATCATCCCTTTAAATTAGGAGAAAAAAGATTAAATTTTATGACAAGAGAAACTAATCTCTTTAACTTTTATTTTAAGAAAAAAATACACTATAATTTTTTATGTTTTTTATAATAAATTAAAAAATATATTTTAATTAAAAAATTTAATAAATAAATTATGATAAAATAAAATATGAATTATTAAATACATTATTTTTTTATTTAATAAATTTTATTAAATCATGTTGTTGATAAAAAAAGTTTCTTTTAAATAATAAAAATTGATTAGAGATTTATAGGACGTGAAATTTTATATATATATATATATATATATATATATATAATGTATATAATAGGTTTAATTTTTATAAGAAATAAGTTTTTATAATTATTTTAAGGATAAATTAAATTTAACTTAAAAAATTAATTTATTTTTTATAAAAAATTATCAAAATAAACTTAACGTAAAATCAATATAAATATTTTCAATTTTATAATATATGTAAGAAAAAAATTAGTGTATAATTTATTAAAAGATTGATATAAAAATCAAATTCATAGTTGATTATTTCACTTTAATATTTTCTCATATAGTCGACTATGTGAATCGTTTATCATTTATGTAAGATTATGTATGGTGTGAGGGTAAAATTTTGTGGGTATTATACATAGCTTTTCCATCCTTATTTCATAAATCAGGAAGGACTTTTGTTGTGTGAGTTCTATTGTAATTTTTTCATAAATTATTTTACATCAATAGAATCAAATATAATATATTCACACAAAAATTTACATTAATGGAAGTATTGAAACAAACACCGACTTGCAACAACTTGAAAGTTGTGAGAAAATTCAAAATTTTATTGAATGCAATTTCTGTCAAAATACATAAATTGAAACTTTGTCAACATTTATATATATATATATATATATATATATATATATATATATACATTTTTTTTCCTTTCTCCTATTTTAAGATTTTATTTTCTTTTTCTTCCTTTTATATCTATAAATACGTGTATCTGGTAATATATGTTGAAATTGAGTAATACTAAAAATATTGTTTTTCTCATTATTATTTTTTCTTTGCATGACGTCCTATTGACATGCAAAATTTTATTTTTATGGCTTTAGCTTTTCTTTATTTTTAAATTTGTAATTAGAGCTTTTTTTTTCTCATGGCTAACTAAACAATGCATAACTTCTTATCCCTGCACGCAAATGAAAATCTAGCTACTCCCTTAATGTCTCTCGTTCTTGATGCTACACATTATCACATTATCACATATGGAGCAGATCAATCTTTCCTGCATTAAGTGCCAATAACAAAATAGAATTTATTTACGAAATTGTCCAACAACTTGCAGTCTATTCAAAAGATTTCTTACCTTGGAACTGTGTTTGTAAAACTCTATATTCTTTCATGTTCTTGATAGAGAAGATCAATTCCTTCAATTTTTACGTGGGTTAAATAATTAGTATAATAATGTAAAATCTCATATTCTTTTCATGGAAATCATGCGTAATCAAGATTTTTAGTTTAGTTGCACAACAAGAGCGTTAATTAACTAATAATAGCATGATAAACGCTTTAAAAATCAGTTATAGTTCTATTGCCCCAACTACTGTCATGTGAAACCAAAACAATATTAACTCTGTCATTTGCACTTTTTTATGGAAAAACTGGCCATACTTAGACTATTTGTTTCCGTAAAAATGGATTATCAAATCAAGATAATAGAAAAATCAAGCTATCATATATTTTGTAGCTATTTTATAGTTAGTCTTTCATTGATACGTTTTGTTATAGATTAGTTACAAAATAGTTATGAAATATTTTGTCACTAAATCCAAGTAGCTAATTAGATAGAGATATATTCTCTCTTAAATTTGTAGTAAATTTTGTCGTTAATCTGTCGTTAAGTCCCTCGCAAATTTAAGTGATGAAATTTTGTCTTTTTCTAGTTAATTGATCTCATAAATTTATAGTTAACTTGTAGCTAATTCGTAGCTATCCCTCTCAATTTTCTCTCGCTATTCCCTTGCAATTTTTCTTTCGTTAATTCATAGCTAATCCCTCACAATTGTGCTCTTGCTAATTTGTAGTTAATCTCTCGTAATTTTGCTCTCGTTAATTCGTAGTTAATCCCTCACAATTTTTCTCTCGCTAATCCGTAGCTAATCCTTCAAAATGTCTTTCTTGTTATTTCGTAGTTAATCTCTCACAATTATTTGTCGCTACTATATATTAAAATTATTTTATCACTAATCGTAGCTAATATCTCACAATTTTATTTGCAAGTAATTTACTAATTATTATTATTGGCGTAGTAGATATTCCTGTTAAAGAATTATCATAACATTATAATATCATACTCATATTCTTAAAAAAGAAGACAAACTTATCAACTTTCAATATAAAAGTATTGCTTAAACATAGTCAAAATGATGTTTCAAACAATTAAAACATAACAAAAATAATATTTCAACTAAAAAGTTTATATCAACACAATAAAAAATAGAAATAAAGTTTTGATTCTTTAAAGTACATTTTCATCTTTGTTTCTTTAAGGGAGATAATAAATCTTTCTTAAAAGATTGCATTTCTTCTTGCATTTGTTGTTGCATGAGTGTTTGCATTTCTGCTTGTATCTTCATTTGTGTTTGCATCAATGCTTGCATATCGGTTTGTGCTCACAATCGTATTTTCATCTACTCTTGCAAATTAGATATCTCGTGTAACTAAGGTAATGATTTCTTCAGTGAGAGGTGTGGTAAGATTTTGGGAAGAGAGACCTTCAACTGATGAAGATGAAACATGTAAAATTCCAAGATCTAAACTCTGACTTATACCATAAATTCTACATTTTTTATTTTCACCAGTAGTCTTTATCCAAATATCAGAATCAACTATAGGATGATTTGGTGTATCTTCCCCATATTTTTCAGTCATAGCATTTTCATATGAGTGTTCATTGTGGAAAAAATGGTCATACTGTGGACACTTGCTATAAAAGCACAGGCACCACCAGCTCACAAGTTCAACTCAACCAAAAATACCCAAGCCAATCTCGTTGTTGTCCAAGATGATGTTAACATTAATAAAGGTTCAAAAATCAATGAATCTGAATGTATTTGCCTAACCTATCAACAATATCAAATTTTATCAAACATTTTTAGAAAATCCTCCACTAATCAAGCCCAAGTGAATAAGACAAATTCTAATCCCACAATCCATTCTTCAACAGGTATAATTAATTCAACTACTTCTTCTAAAATCATTCGATCAAAATGGCTCTTGGACTCGGGGGCAACGAATCATATAAGCATATCTTTACATAAGTTTTCAACTTACAAGAAAATTAATCCCATTTGCATAAATCTCTCCAATGGACAAATAGTTATAGCTGAATTCTTAGGAGAGATAAGCTTACTGATAACATCAGTCTTACTAATGTGTTTTATGTCTCACTTTTCAATTTTGTGTTTTATGTCTCACTTTTCAATTTTATTTTAATATCTGTCTCCAAGCTCACAACAGCACATGCATGTGATTTAAAGTTTACTCATGATAAATGTGTCATACAAGATCACCAAACTAAAGTGATGATTGGTATAGTTAGCATACATGTAGGTCTTTATGTTCTGGATCTCCCTTTCAAAAACAACCATAGTAAACACATCATTGTTACCAGTAACACTTCCCATGACATTAACATCTGGCACATTAGGTTCGACCATCCTTCCAATATGAGAATGAAAATCTTAAAAAACAAGCATAATTGCATTCCAAACAAACAAATGATGATATGTAATATCATAATATGTGTCATAAGGTAAAACAAAAACGTCCCTTTTTTTCCCATTAATGTTGAATCGTGTTCTGCTTCACATAAATTAGATATTCTTAACATGGATATTTGGAGCCCTTATAATGTTGTCTCTATACATGGTTTCCAATATTTTCTAACCATTGTAGATGATTACACTTATTTTACATTGATTCTACCTATGTTCAATAAATCTGATACTAGGGGCAATAGTGCTTAGTTTATCATTCAAAATGAAAAACAGTTTGAGACTTCTGTCAAAATTATACACATTGATAATAGACCGGAATTCAACATACATAATTTTTTTACTCAAAAAGGCATTATTCATCAGACTACATGCACTGAAACACCACAACAAAATGACATTGTCAAGAGAAAGCATCGACATCTATTAAACATCACTGTTCATTCAAGTCACACTTCCAAACGTGCTTTTTCGTTCAACATGTTGCTCTCCTCATCAACTACGTTCTAACACCTATTCTCAATAATACTTCACCCTATAAAAAATTTCATGGAGCATTATATGACATAACCAATTTGCACATCTTTGGGTACCTCTATTATGCAAATACTCCAATTGTCCAAAGAAAGAAACTTGATAAGGGCTACTCCACGCATCTTCCTTGGTTACAAACCATGCACAAAAGGTTTTTATTTTCTAAATCTTCACAATCACGCTATCACTCTTACCCACGACATCAAATTTTATAGAAAACACTACTAAAAATTCTCATTTTTCATGGGAATATTTTTGCAAAATTTTGGTAAAAATTGCAAGAAATAAGTTTTCTATAAATTTAAACAATTTTTTGCAAGAAAATTGGCAGGAAAAAACTAGTTTTCTAGTAGTGACCCCACTACTAAAGTCTTTTCTTATAAATCACAATTACAAACTAATCACTAATCATGACCCCACTAGTTTATCACTCCTTATGCCTGACAATTAAACTTTCAATGATGCTAATTTTTTTATACTAATGTTTCCACATCATGTTTAATACTAATAACAACGAGATTACCAATCATCTAGATACTCATACTAGAAATGCAGATGATGTTGATCAAGATGACACCAATGAAGTACCAGTAGATATCAATATCAATTTATCCCAAACCTTGACGCTCATCTAGAAACAATAAAGTGTCGTTTTATCTTCAAGATTTCCATTTGACTTCTTCTCATGATAGACCTACCAAATTTCTTATTAGTAAATATGTATTATACACCAATATCTCTTAAGTCTATAAACATTTCATTTTTTTTATCTCTTCTAACCATGAACCCCACAGCTACGTAAAAGCATCTAAATCCACCCAATGGATCAAAGCTATGAAAGAATAATTGATTGCACTTAACAATAAAAATACATGGATCATTACCAATCTTCCTCTTGGAAAAACTGTAATAAGTTATTGATGGATATACAAAATCAATTACAATTCAGATGACACTATAAAATGTCATAAAGTTTGTTTGGTAGCAAAATGTTTCACTCAGCTTGAAAGGTTGGATTACTTTTACATGGAACCTACTCCTGAGTTAAACATTAAAAATAAAAAATTATGTAAACTTCAAAGATCCCTATATGGTCTTAAACAGGCAGGAAGACAATGAAAAGAAAAACTATCTTAATTTCTTCTCGCAAATCAATTCAAACACTCCACTGCTGTCGACCATTCTCTCTTCATAAACAGTGAAGAAATTATATCACCATCATTCTTATTTATGTTGACAACATCATCATCACTGGCAATAACAACAAAAAGATTCAACATATCACAACTCTGCTTTCCATATTAAGAATATTGGGGACTCGGTATTCTTCCTTGGCATAGAAGTCGCCCGTAATTCCACTAATTTTCACCTTTGCTAGAGGAAATATACTCCCTGATCACCACTCCTATGATCCACACTTCACGACCTTCCATTGTTGATGTTTCCCCTCTAAATGATGTAGATTCCACTTCATACATATGATTAATCGACAAGCTCATATACCTTACTAACACTCGCCCATATATTGCTTTCTCCATTGGTCATCTAAGTCAGTTCATCGCTGCTTTGACTAAGTTACACCAACAAGTGGCACATCACATACTTTGATATCTAAAGGATCCTTGGAAAATGACCTATTCTTTTCAAGCAATAACCTCGTCCAATTACGTGTCTTTAGCAACTCAAATTGGGCTACAAGCCTCGTTACAAGAAATTTTGTCATGGACTTTAACAATAAACAAATCAAGAAACTCTAAGCGAAATACAGAACCATGACTTTAACAATATTTATACTTCAATGGATAACTTATTTACTACAATATCTTAATGCCCCATATAATAAACCAACAAGATTATATTGTGATGATCAATTAGCCATATAAATTGCATCAAAAGTTGTATTTCATCGTTTTTCTTTATTTTCAAATTCGCAAAGTTATGAAATTACTACTGGAAAAACTAATTAAAAGAATGTGATAAATGATGGATTATTTAAGTCCATCTAATCATAATTCTCGTATTTTGTGATGAAGTTTGAATTCAACCATATATTCTAAAACTAAAAAAAGTATCTTATTTTTATGATTTGAAAAATATATATTATTTTTATTATTTGAAAAAAATATATAGAAAATTATTTTTGACATTAATTTCTATTCATTTCTCTTTATCTTCCTTTTATATATAGCCTTTATGTTGTTTTAAAATTTCATTTTCTTTTAACTTTTTTCACTCATAACTCTTTATCTTTTAATGACTAAGACTTCCTTTAATCATTGCTTGTCATCAAAATAGTTTCAACTCATAATATAACGTGTACCAACATATTAAGCGTCTCTGATATTGACTAATGATATCTTTATCACGTAAATAATCAATTTAACACAATTTAGAAAGATAACAAGATTAAAATAAATATATTAAAATATAAATGATTAAATCGAAGAAAACACAAGGATAAAAAAACTTTTATCTTTTAACCAAGTAGCCTAATGTTTGAAGTGTGATAATCAATCCCGTTACTGAATATATAGATATTATGTATATAAAGGTTTTTTTTTAACTCTTTAATTTTAAGTAACTTAGTTTAAATATTTGTGTTTTTAAGATGTTACATTATGTTTAGAAATTATGTCGTGTTTAGTTTTTCATGTCACTTAATTTTTGTTAAATGTGTGATGTAATTAAGATAATAAAATATAAGAAAAATAATAGTTTCAATTAGGAAAACTAAAATGTGAAAAAAGAAATCATACGCTAAAAGGAAAAAAATATTGCAATGAAAAATATTTAATTTGAAGAAACTTGGCACAAATTTACTACTCCAAAGTTGCTGAACTTAATTGGAATAAATGGTTGTTTGTTGAAATACATATTTAATATAAACCATGAAGCTAAATCAAATTATGGGAAGTTAGTTAAGTGGGCCAAGATTTCAGTGTGGCCCACTCTTTCAATTGATTATCAATCAAGCCATGGATGAAAAGCCTTTACCACTAAGCATGCAACAAATAATTTTTCATTTTTCTTATATTAAACGTAATATCGTAGGTTAGTTATTTTCATTTATTTAGTTAGTTTTGGCTTTTTACAAAGTTTGGTTGCATTAACTACTTCGTGAAAGTGTTTAACTTTGATGCTTGGTGTCATCTCATCATATAGATTAGAGTTTTGGTGACCTAAATCACTTGAGTTTGGATTTCTGCAATTTAGTTATCATGGTTTCTGATATGGAACCTAGATGTATCTATTTTTCCCAACGTACTTCACCAGAAAACTAGTACCTTGCTTCACCAACCATAATCTGTCACATTAAATACAGTATGTCTAATGAAATTTATTCAAAAATTTTCTCTGTTTTTCTTTTTTCTGGTTTGTTCTCAATTTGCTCATTAATCGCATTGACAACTTGAATCACACAAATCCTGCACATTAAATTAAGTTGAAATTGAATGAACAACAAGAGATTAGAAGCTTTGACATTAGTCTGGAATCATGAATTGACCTTGTTTGAATAAGGAATAGAATTGTGTGTTGTTTGTATCAGAAGCATGAAGCTCACTTGTCATCCTCAATTATCCATCACCTAACAGTAATCACTTTTGTGTCTTGTTTGGTGAAAGAAAAGGGAGATTATACCCAAATGAAATAATAATCTGCTACCAAGGGTGAAGTGTCATAAGAGTACTTTAGGTTAAATCTAACATAAATTTTGTATTTAAATCTCGAAAATATAGTTCCAGTTAGGAAAGAAAAATAAGAAAAAATAGAATGATTTTTCTGTTAGTTAAACTTGATACATGAGCAAGTTAAAAAATAAAAGTTGTATAAGAGGAATTTACAAATTAGTTTTTAATATAAACTAAATTTAACTTATAAAAAAAATTCTCTTATAAAAGTCTTATCTAAGAAGTTTATCCACTTATGTCCAAAAAAATAATTAAATCTTTAACACGTATGTTAGTTTGAATTGATGAAGTGGTGAAGATTGTTTTATTTTATGCCTCTTTCAAAGATATTGGAAGGATTTGGTAAGGTGGTTAAGAATATTTACTATAATCAGCTTCCACATACATATATGAGGGTTATTATATAGATACAGATATGCACCAGTTTTTCCCTCTCAGCTACATCTTTTTGTTCCCTTTTTGAAAATTTAAGTTTAGATTATTGATTAAACATCAACTTTTGATAATGATTAGTACATTATTATAATAACTATATATTAGCACAATTTGACATTCAAAGACTATTTGTTAAAAATTAAACCAAAGAGGGTTTGACCAAAATAAATAAACATGAGGCTATGTATGGAACAAGTAGCAGAGAATATTACCTGAAGCATTACTTCAACAACCGAAAAATAGATGGAGGGGTTTACCCAACCCAACCTAAGTCCACACTCATCAAAATGAGAATAATGATTATAATTTTTAAGGGAAAAAAATATAATCAGGCATATTCACTTGTTTTTAGTTTCTATTCGACACTTTACATACGTGTCTCTCGTTTTATTCTCCAACGCTAGAGTACCTAAGGTTGACATGAAATGATTTCAAAAGCTAATATAAAGTAAACAAAAGGAAGAAAAGAGTACCAAAAACTAACATCAAGAATAATCATGTGTTTGGGAGAATTACTTTTCAATAAACACACATTTTTTTCCTAAAATTCTTTCATGAATTTGATTAAAAGTAATCAGTTATTTCTTTTAGCCAAACATTCACTAATTAAGAATCTTGATTAAATTTTAGTTCTTAATTTCATTTTGCATTTAGTAAGCAAGATTTTCTCTCTCCTTTTACCTTTTTCATTTTTTTATTAAAAATATATATCTACTATTTTCTGCACTCACTGACACGCAAGTTATTTTAGTTGAGATGCAGGTCGGAAGTTGGAGTTTAAAAAGCTTCTCTCCCTCTCGCACATTCCAGAGTAAGAGTCATCAAAATCATTATCACTGTAAACTTTTCTCTGTTTCCCTCATGGCTTCTCTTCATGATGATGGTGAAGTCGGTTTTGAAGAAGGAATGCTCTTGCTACCCTCTAATGTTCTGGACGAGGCATGTGACTCCAACAACAAGGTTAGTAGCAATAGCACCTTAGTTTCCCTTCTTTATTCTTCATCACTTTGCTTCTTCTATCTCCAGTTTCTCTACCTGTTCCAACTCCAAATAAGCAACTGGGTGCTTCATTATAATTTCAGATTCATTTCTCTCCACATTTCACGGTTAACATGTAGTTTGGTTATATTTGATTGAACTGATATAATTATTGCTTTTGGCTTCACTGATTGAATTTGATGCAATGATTTAATAAATAATAACGTATTATTCTTCTGCTAATTAGTGTTATATCTGAAATTTCATACAGATACATACGAGGAGCCACCAGAAACATCAGCAACAAGGTTACCACCACAGACATCAAAGGGAAACACAGTCACAGGTATGTTCTATGTAATTCTATTACCACTCTCTCTGCCTCTGGTTGTGGTCCCCAACAAAAAGATGCAATGTTTGCGTAGAAGTTTTGGTAGGTATAATATAAAGATATATCTCAGTTAGGTTTAGGTATTAATCAGGATGTAGTTTTTTTAATATACTTTGAAGATAGATGTGAGATGACAGAAATTCCAAAGATGAATTATTAAGCTCTTTATAAACAAGTGAAATTACCAAATAAGAATGTAAAAGTAGTTTTAATTAATCATTAAGGGTACATGTCTTGCTACGATTTGAAGTTGGCATATGTCTGGTCTTCACTTTAGTATAAGGAGAAATCTAGCTACCTATGGAGTTAGTGGGAACAAAAAATATGCTTTTGAATTTGGACTATTGATTCCTTTTGCACACAGTTTTTGGTTTGAAACAAAAGGGTCCTTAGATGCACGCTGCAGATATATATTCCTGGTTTTTTCCCTTTGTTAAATTTTTATTTTGTCCTTGTACTTCGGGTAACATTCTTTTGAGTTGAGAACAAAAAGCCAGAAATAAAGCAGGTCCTAGTTTAATTGAATTGATGATGGCGTGACTCAAAATTCAGCAATAAAAGGATGGAAGTTAACGTGCCACTTGAAAATTGTCTCAATATAGTTAGTGAGTCTGACTTTATTTTAAAAATTGAAAAGTTTCAAACATCTATATATGATATATTCAACAAATCTGTGCTCAAGTAGATAACTTTTGGTGGCTTATCAGAAAAGTTCTGAAGCATACAATATGAAATTAGACAAGTCATGACGCATGCTTTGTTGGTCACATGCATGCATAATCAAGCTGCAATGACATATGAAAGAATGTGGATTGATGGTTTAAATAAAGAGGGTGTAAAGTCAGGGTGTTGTTAATTGTGGCCACAGAAGCTATTTGATAAGAATCTGCAACACTATTTATTTTTTGAACAAAATTGAAATGTGTAAGGCTTTGAAACTTTCATTTGCTATTCATTCAAACCTTTATATTTTAATTCCTTAACCAATGGGTCAAGTGGCTTAAAAAAATTGGTGGAGTGTTTAGCTGTAACTTCAACTGTGTCAATATCTGGTGTATCTCTAACTCTGCGCTATGCAATATCCAGAGTGCGATATTAATGTAGTTACTTAAAGATATATGGACTCTATTTGCTGAATGGTTTAATTGTTTATTTACCTTTTCATGAATCTGATTTTCTTCCTTTATTGAAAATAAAATATGTTATGTCCACTTCAGTGTTCAAAATTTACTACAAGAGCATCATATCAAAGGCCTAAACACGCCACAGGTGGACCTGGAATGCAAGCTGTTTTCTTAGTTTCGGGACAAGGATCATGTGGCACTGGGGTGTTCTTACCCCAAAAAGCAGGCACTAAATCAACTAGGAAGCCAGGTTTGTATTTGAAATTGAATTGTAGTTTAAAACTTGTGCTTATAGACTATCACATTTTCTAAATTAAAATTTTGATTAATACATATTTCACTTCATTGAGATAAGTTAGAGTTGTTAACATGACGAATCAAAGTTTAGATTTATGTTGAAAAAGTGTTAGTTTTTATTTTCATTTTTAACGTGACTTAAATATGAATATTTTTTCAGAAAGAGAATATTTGTGAGAAAAAAAAGAAAAAGTTGGATAGGGAAAATAAACTAAAAAAATCCATAAGAGTAGAAAAATGACAAAAACACATCCTTAAATTGAAAACTTAAATTTAATAAATTCAAGTTAACTTTCATTTATGCCTAACCATTGACCATGTATACGTGACAATTTGGTCAACTAATTCAAAGTAAAAATTTACTTTTTAAAAATTTGTGATATCATATCTTATCATTTTCAATCTAGTCCTTAAATTTAACCACTTCCTATCTTTTTGTTTCTAAAAATAATTCTGAATTTTTAATTAAGTCCTTCGTTGTAAATAAGTTATTAGCAAAAACATCATCATCTTCTGTTGCTTTCATTTCTAATTACTTACCATATTATTTACATTCCTTTCCTTTCATATAATTTATGATCTATTTTAACTTCCCTATCTTACATCAAATTTACCCTTTAAAATTTAAATACTCACAAAGTTAAATGTAAATTTTGAATATGCTTTAAATATCATAAGAACTTAAAAATAAGTTCTAAAAGTTTTTATACACGTTAATAACATAAATTAATAACTCGATTTAAATGGAAGATTTGGTTAAAATCTAATAAATTCTTGGAAGTGGTATCTTGTATTTAGTTAGTAACTACAACTATATGTAAATACAATCAAATACGCGTCATACTATTTTTTTAGTTACATATACACAGCATATATATATATATATATATATATATATATATAATATGTTTATTTTTTTTAGTTTTAACTTTAGTTAAACAAAATATAGTAATTTCATAAGTATAATAAACCATCTCATATCGTTTACCTTCATATATTTATCAGATAAAGGAATTAAAACAATGGCAATATAAAATAATAGTCTAAACTAGATAAGATTCATACACCTTTGATGGAAGTTGATATAAAAAGGGATAAGAAACATGTGACAGAAAAGGGGAAAAAAATGAAAATAAGAAATAAAAGTGAAAGAAGACGATGATGTTTGCTAATAATTTTCTATTCTCAAATATTAGATTAACCATTCTTCACGTCTCTATTAACGAAAATGACTATTTATATATATATTTTTTAAATTATCGATAGACTATTGATTTATCTTCTTTCTTGGGATATATTAAATGTTCAAAATTTACTTGAAAAAAGTTGCAGGTAAATAAACATTATCGATATGGTTATTTAGGTATCAAAAGAATTTTCTTTTAGTAAAGCTAATATTTAAATTTTAATTTTAATTTTTGTTGTATAGATTTGGTGAAAACGTGCAGAATTTGGATTTACATTAAAATAATTGACCGTAGGATTGTTTTGCAGCATGTGCTCCTGTCCTTCTTCCAGCTCGAGTAGTTCATGCTCTAAATCTCAAAGTACACGAATTCGGCCTGCAGATTTCACCTTCTCAAGGTCTCATATCTAACCCTTTCATTCATGTATTCTAATTTCTTGTGTTAAAATATTTAAATCACCTACAATAGTTTCATGCCATGAAATTTACACCATATAAAAGGAAGAAAGTTCTAAATGACATGCAGGTCCCAAATATGGTCCAAGAAATGCAGAAGTATACACCAGCAGTGAGTCAACAAAGAAGAAAAATGATCAAAAAGAGGGTATCAAGCAATGCAGTGTTATTTCTCAGAGTCAAACTTCTTCTCCTGATATATTTCTTCCAAAGGAGTGGACTTACTAACTTAGCTCCTCATTTGATTAGTGCAAAAAATAAAAACACAAAAGGAGCTCATATTGTAAATGCATCCATGAGTTAGAAACAAATCCTTCATAAATCCGGGTGTTAACTTTTTTGTGCTGCTGTTATGTTAGAGGCTCTCACCATGTAATAATAATTGTTAATTTATAACAAATAAAAAAAGCACAAAAGGTTCCGGTTAGATATATTGCATACTTCTTTTTAATATACTTTTTTTTATCAAATTTTATTAAATAAAAAGATCAACGCATCTTGACACGGACCAATGAAAACGTGATCTGATTTCGTCTTACTGTAGTTCGCGAAACAGAGGATCTAGGTCAGGGATGAGGGTTTAATTGTCTATTTTTAATGCACAAAACCCCTCTTCATCTTTCTCTTTTCCATACTCACGACCACTGTTCCAACTCCAACCATGGAAGCAACCAGATTCTCCCCTAATCACTTCCACCCACACTCCTTCCAAACGAAACCCAATGCACTCAGAGGTAAGTTTCCCTCTGGCAACGCTAAAAAGAAAAAAAAACTATTTATATAAAGCACTGTAGCCTCTTCTTCGACGATAATTATGCAGTATGCGTTAAAACCTCTTACTTCTCGCAGAAAGAAGATACGTAAAATGCATCAACGGAATTGGTACTAGGGTTTCGCTTTTCACGTTTCCCGCATTCAGCACAAGGATTTATCCTTCTCATTACCGGTCTCTTTCTGTTAACTTCTCCGACCGGCTCCGAAGTGATTATGCGCGCGTCGAGGCTCCGAAGTATGAGCTTCCGAAGGAGGAGGTTGTTCCTGCGACTCACGGAGGGGAAGCGGCTGTTGCGTTGGATCCGGGGGCTGATGACTCGGTAACCCCGCAATTGAAACCTGTAATGTTCAGAAACAGGTTTCTGAACTTTGTGCGGTTGGGTTCTGTGATTAACGGTGCGGCTGAATCGTTTTTCAAGAGCGAGATTAGGAGGAGGTTGTTCGTGACGGCGGTGCTGATTGTGATTAGTCGCGTTGGTTATTTTATTCCTCTTCCGGGGTTTGACAGAAGGTTGATACCGGAAGATTATTTGAGCTTTGTGTCAGGATCATCTGTTGGTAAGTTGCATTGTATTGCATCGTTTGTTGCTGCCAGATAGTTGCTCACACGTGAATTAACTTTGTAACTCTTACAACATATGACCCCTATCTTATTCTCATTGGAAAATGGTGATTGGATGATGTTCGTTTTGAATATCCTGTGAACCTAAAGGGACTATAGTTGAATGCGAGAAAGTAACTAACTGGGCCTAAAATTGAAATTTTACATTTTTGAATTCAAATCGAGTCTTAGCTCAATGCAGCTTGTCAGTGTGAAGGGAGGAGGAAAATTTGGACCATTGTGTTATTGTTTTTTATGTAGAAAGTGGTGGAAGGATGATAGTTGAATTCCACAATTGATTGTAGTGTACATGACACATATATATATATATATATATATATATATATATATATATATATATATATATATATATATATATAACAACTCTAAGATAAGATATCTACAATTTGAATTTATGTAAATCCTATCATAAGATATATGAAAATCTTAAATTAAGATAAAATATCTATAAGTTGAATTTAATTAATCCTAAGATAAGATATCGACAGTTGGATTACTGAATATGGTCAACAGTCCAATACTTGCTAGAGCAATTTTTTGCTTGGATATTTGTCTGAGTTTATACATGTGAACAGTCATTCATGTAGCTTCTGGCAGATGAACTTGGTGACTTCTCTGCTGAGCTCAAGTTATCTATTTTCCAGCTTGGAATCAGTCCTCAGATAATAGCGTCCATTATTATGCAGGTATTCCCCCTTTTGTATTTTGAGTTTGTTGGGCTGTTATTTGTTGCAAAAGTTTACTTTTTGTTACTTTGAAGCTCAAAGAATGTTCAACTACCTTTAACTATATATGGTTTTTATTTCTTTTATTTTTTTGCTAGTGTATCCTTAAAAGTATGTGATGTATATGGAACCAGTGGTGTTTCTCTTTAAAACAAAGTAGAACTTTGGAAAATTTGCTCTCTGCACTTTAGATTTTGTAAGGAAATAAGTCTTCTGTAAATTACTATCTTTGGAAAGAAGAATGGTTTTTCTTATTATTTTTACTGTGAAGTACTTGATTATAAAGTCTAAAGAACACTGATGTCTAAATCAGATACCCATTTTTCTTCTGTATTGTTGATTTCTGTTTTCATGCTTTGGCCTTTTATAAAATGTATTTATACAAGATATTCATGTGCAGGTACTCTGTCATGTTGTCCCTTCGCTAGTAAAACTACGAAAAGAAGGGCTGGATGGGCATGAGAAGATTAAGAGTTATATGTGGGTCTATTTATCCATCTTGAACAGTGAACTAATTTCTAGCTACACATTGTTTTTATCTCCCTTTATGTGATTTAAGGAATTTCAACTAATTAACTTTTCATATGTTCTACACATTTCAGATGGTGGATGTCATTTGGCTTTGCAATTTTGGAAGCTTTAATAGTTGCATGCTACTCACTTCCATATTCAATTTATGCTTCTAGTTATAGGTAATTTGTATAGAAGATTTTGATTGCAAGATTTTAATAATACAACAAATAATTGAACTCCCAATGTTTCTTCACAAGTTGATATCATAAGTTTGGTTACATAGATGAATTTCCATATAGTATGATATCATAAGCATGATGAATATAATAACAAGATCTCTCCCATGACCCAATAATTAGCCTTGGCGTTTAACACTTGAGGCTGGGGGGCTATGTAGCGTATAGAATAATTTACTCCCCAGAATTCTGCCGAGTGTATCTCGCCCTGGATATATCTCCAAGAATCACGTTTGTTGACCCATAATTAATGCCAATAAGATAATAACTGACCCCACAAAATTGGTCCAAAAGGCCCAAAGAAAGTAAATAAAATTAGGTCTAGGTCGAAAAACGATCATCTCACTTTTTTACCACAATAGTTACATAGATGAATTTCCATATATTATGATTCCAACAAATGTCTCTAGAAGTAGATAATCTTAAGCATTGGTGGAAATAGAAGTGCCATTGGCCTTCATAAGTTAGCAGTGTAGCATTACCTTTTCTATAAGCACATTATGAAATTTCTATTCTAAAATTTATTGTTGTTTTATGCTTTATAATACATTTCTCATTCTCTTTTATTGTTATCATAATTCTACTGAGTCATAGATATGGTAGGACATCTGTTGCCCCAAATTCTTTTGTTAGATTTTATATAATTTTGTTTTTTTTTTTAACATTTGCTACTTTTGCAGGGTCAAGCATGTAATGGTGACATCGCTTTTATTGGTTTGTGGTGCAATGACTATTACATGGATATGTGATACTATATCAGAATCTGGATTTGGTATTTTTCTTAACACAAAGCTGTTACTTTCTCACCTTTGATTGGAGTTGTGAAAGTTAAAATTTATAAGATAACTGGAGCATATGGTGGGAAATGTTGTGGTTAAATATTAACTTAGTATTTATAAGAACTTATGCAAATAACTGGGCGATCCTCAATTGAGTTGTCTCATTTATTTGTTAGGCACCATATGTAATCTTGAACCATTAAAGATGACAATGAATGACTTTTTACTGATTTGATTTTGTCGATTTTACTATTTCACTTTGCAATTTCACGGAAAAGTAATCTTTAAATTTGAAGGGATTTTATTTTTTGAATTTCATTTGCATGCATAGGAGAATTATCCACATCAGACGGCTGTGAATAGTTTGTCCAGGTGTGGATTGTAACCTATAAGCATATGCTAATATAATTTAGTGGTAATAAAAAGATACTTATTTGCCTTTTGCTACATCATTTGCCTTTCCCTTTTGTTGAATTTGTCTTGCTACTTAGATAGTAACTATGAAATCTACTCTGCAGTAGAAGGAAGATTCTTTCTCTTGGCCTACAATACTGCTTCTTTGAAAGCCTAGTATTTTGTTTTATATAATTGCTTGAAAGGAGAGAGTTATCTTTCCAAATTAATTGCTTAGATCTGCCTCTTTCACTCACTTCGTAATTTGAAGTTTTATTTAATTATATTTTCAAATTACATTTTTAAAGTAGTTTTTAATCAAAACTTGTAGAACTGTTGGAAGAACACAAGAACCATAATTAATTTGTCAATTTCGTTTTTGCTAATCTTGTGTTATTGTTATCTCTTTGCCACACTGTAAAAGGACACGGGATGTTGATTATTCCCTATACTTAAGTCAGTTAATTGATTTGAAAGACTCATCATCAGATTTGAATGTCTGCCTCGTGGTTCATTTCATTCTGCTGTGTCTGATAATACCTTCTTCAGGTCAAGGCTCGTCTCTAATCATATGCGTGGGCATACTTACGGGGTATATGGAAACATTATACAAAATGCTTACTCAGCTTTCAGGTACATGTCTGGATCTATATAAATGAAGGCATTTGATATTTTACCCCATTTCCCTTCCCTATGTTCCTCATTCTCAAGCTTATTTTGACATGTTAAAGTAGCATGTCTGATATTAAGGAATTTGGGTTTGCAGACTCTACGAAAGTTTTGACTAACAATATTTTTGGTATCAATTGTTCAAGGGGATTAGGCACTATTTTGTTTGAGAAAATATTCTTTTATTTTTAATTATAAAATGTTAAATTGTTTTTTATTTTGTTTTGCATTTTCAAAAGTTTGTACAGGAAACTTGAAAATAAGTTGTTCCCAGTGTTTCTTACATAAATTTTTTGAAAACCACGCACAGAAGTAAAAGTTAAAACAGAAAATATTTTCTCAATGTGAATAGTTCATTATTTTTGAAAGCTTTTGTCAGGAAGCAGCAAAAAATAAGCAATTATTTTTCCAAAATATGCTGAGACAAGCACACTTAATTTCCTTTAGATGCGTATCAATTATTCATTTAATTTTGTTTTGAAGATTACAAATATATCTCAGACATACTTATACGTGCCTGAAAATAAAACAAAAGGAGGACCATAAAGATAAGGAACAGGTTATTTCAGAGGATCCTTGTCAACTGATTTGATCTAGGAGTATGTATAGGTAGAATGAATATTACAGAATTGTTTATAAAAAAATACTAAAAGATCGTGATACAAATCTAATAAGGTGAAAATATATAAAGAAATATTATTATATTTATATCTGGAATCATTTGTAACTTTAGTGATTTGTATTTCTTAATATTTCAGTGAGCGCTGTGAGCTGGTGGCCATATGTGCTTGCAGTATTGGGTATCTTCACTACAGTCACTATGTGGGCAGTTGTAGTAACGGAAGGTTGCAGGAAAGTAAAGCTGCAGTACTATGGTTTTAAACTTGCTTCTGCTGCAAGGTAAAGGACATTGTCTTTGTTCAGTCATATTAGAACCTTGTTCTCCTTGAAAATCTGGATGTTACTATAGTTTTGATATTCTCTCACTTATACATGTAAAACATTGTAATTGACATTTCCTATTATGTTTTTCTTGAGGAAAGTTGTTTGTATCTGAGGAAATAGTACATTTGATTGTCATATGATCTACCTCTACCTTGAATATTAACTTTATTGTACTTAGCTTATATGTTTGTTAGACTTTATTTGCCCTTATTATTTACGGAGATCCTGATAGTTTCTACTTTCTCTGTCATGATGGACTTAAATGATATATTTGAGTATACTCATGCTGTTGAAAATTGATGCTTTCATTCAATTTGAAACAGAGAGCAATCACCTATTACTGAAGTGGAGCCCTATATCCCTTTCAATATTAATCCAGCAGGGATGCAACCTATTCTTACCACCTCTTACCTCTTGGCACTTCCAAGCATTCTTGCAAGGTTTGTATATACTGCTTTGCTATATTCATTTGGTTTTCTTAGTTCAACCTCATGATCCAAGTTTTTGCTGGTAAATTTGTCTCTAAATTTTTTATACATATGATCTTAGTGCCTTAGCTTTCTTGCTCTTTTCTCTGTTTGCTAGGTAATATTCGCCCCATTCTTGTCACATGTGCTTTCTAGAAAGTGATGTTTCCCTTTTTTTTGTTTACTTTAACTTGTATTATTGGCAGTCTGCTGAGGTCACCTTTTTGGGAGCATGTCAAGGAAATATTGAACCCTGAAACTTCTGTTGGTGCTGAGCCATGGGTTTACTATTCCATATATGCTTTTTTTGTCTTCCTGTTCAATATATTTGATATTGTAAGTTTCTCTTTACTGTTACAAAATTATTGTATATTCTATTTGATGTAAAGAGTTTCCTGTTTGTATTGAGTTTCATTTTGATATAAGCTGTTAGATTTACTTTACAACAACATATGAAAAAATAGTGGATGAATCAATTTAATGTTGAATCAGCTTTCAACTGAGAATTTTGAATGGAACAAGAGAAACAATGTCAAAGCTGTTCCTTAATAATCCACACAATTATCTGGTTCTGAGTTGCCTATTCTGATTATTTCCAAAACCATTGAAATTCATATATTGTAAATCTGTTGAATTATTTGCTCATTAAAAGTTTTCCATACCATGTTAAAATATCAGAATGACTTTTGTGTATTTTGTAAATGGTCTTACACGTGGATTGTGCACAGGCTAACATGCCAAAGGAAATCGCTGATTATTTAAATAAGATGGGTGCGAGAATACCAAACATAAAGCCTGGGAAGGCTACCATAGAGTACCTCACCAAGGTCCAGGCATCCACACGATTTTGGGGTATGTTACTGGTGAATGGCTGTAACTTTAGATTCATTTTGATTTCTTTATCAAATCTAATATTTCCAGTTACTGTTAATTCACTACCTTGGGGAAAATTTGCAGGCGGCCTACTGTTAAGTGTTCTGGCCACTACATCAAGTGTTCTCGACCACTATTTGCGGCGTATCAATGCTGGGTTTGCTATTGGTTTTACATCAGTTCTAATTATTGTAAGTGCACGAAGGATTCTTGTAACTGTTCTCTGCATGCAAACTCATTGGTAATACCACATTAACAGGAGAGAAATTCATGCCAGCTGAACTTCTCTGGCTTTAATTGCTTTTTACGTAATTCCAAATTGGGAGCACAAAATCGGTCTATTAAGTCATGGACCATGCATGTCACTAGCTTATATTGCTTATAAGGGGATAATGATATCCTTTCTAGTATTTTCATCATCCAAAAACTATTGAATCACCTATATTGCGCATAAGGGGGGATTAAGTCGAACACTATTCCTTGTACAAAAGATAATGGATTTGGTCCGAGTGTCATACTTTTATTACAATATTGAAATTTGAAAAAGTCTTTCTTCAAACATAATACATAAACCATCAAATGCTTTGTTCAACTTCCCAGTCGCTTGTACAGATTCACTGAGTAGTCCTTGGTTTTGTTGATCCAGGTTGGTTCCATTATTGAACTCAGAAGATCATATCAAGCATATAATGTGATGCCAAGCTTAAGCAATGCCTTGAGACGATATGGTGTATAACTTACGGAAAAGCTCTGCAGTTACAATTGAATTTGGGGTAACTTAGGCCAACGTTGTATTGGGTGAGTAGCATATTTATTTTGTGTACAGATTTTCCAATTCTGATACTGATGATAATTGATCAGGACTACCTATTGTTGAAGATATTTCCAGGAAGCTTGGTATTTCAGGGAGATTACAGATTTAGAGTCTAGTTTGCCGGTCTAAGAATATCGAGGTTGGAGTGTTGTGTTGCTGGTAAGAAAGTGCTATAATGCTGCGTGTCGATATATCATAGTAGCTGATTCAAAAGACTCATCTTCTGTTTTCTCTGGAGGAAATTTGTTTTATGGATTTGGGACACTAATAGTTAGGTTGTAGTTGTAGCGGCAGATGAAGTTTGTACAGGAATTTCTCGTGTTATAGACGGGGACATATGCAGTATAAGAACGAGGTGTTTGGATATAGGAGGTTAAATGCCTTGATAGTGAGTGGGTTGGAGTATTCCCTTCTACACCACAAAATATTTGGAGCACCTTACATCTATACAGAAATTGTTTTTCCAGAACATAAATTCTGAAAAGTTATCAGTGGGTGGAAAGTGTCGCAGATTTTTATGGGGTGCAGGAAGTTAAATTCAGTGGGTTGATATCCCAAGGGAGGAGCCCAAATGGTGGGCACTGTTACACTAACACTTTTGTAACAAGAGATTCACCCCTCTGCAGTTTTTTTATATTACTTTTTTCCATATCCCCATTTTTTTGTACAGTTTCTTCTTAAATACCGTTTGACATCTGGAATATATTTTTACGTGCTTCTGGAACTTTGTAAGAAAAAAAAAATTAAATAAAATTCTAGGACTGAGAGTTACACTTAAAAGAGGATGTTGCACTTTAGTAAAATAAAAGTCATTTTCAAAAAAAAAAAAGTTAATGGTAATTAGTTGTTAAGCTTTTAACGTCTAAAATCAGCTGGTAACAGGTGGAGTAGTTGGTAACACGATTAAATTATATTAAATAATAATTATATTAAATAATATGAGATAGGTGATGTGAGACTTTCTTTATGATGACTATTGAACTAGGTAAATGATATTTTTAACCTAACGAAATGATAATTTTTGGTTCAACATAGATGTTAGATTTTGACTCTCATATTATATTAAAGTTCTAACATAAAATCAATTAGTAATATGTAAAGTAATTTAATATATATTTAAAATGTTAAAGTTCTAACATAAAATTAATTGATAGTATGTGAAGTAATTTAATATGTATTTAAACTATATTAAATGATATGAGGTAGGTAATGTGAGACTTTCAATACTAGTTATTAGTTTAAAAAAAAATGAGATAAAAGCAACATAACAATGTCTTTTTTTTTTTTTTAAATTGGTTGGAGAGAAAGTGAAAGATAAATGAAACAATGATAGATCTTGAACATTGATCTTGGAGAGCTAAATAATATATTATTAATAAATAATAAATAAATATAAAAGAAAAAAAGAATACTGAAAGGGTGAAAGGATAAAATTGTAGATATATATTTAAATATATTAAATGATCATTAAATTTGAAAGTGACAAAATAATAAATTATATGAAAGTTACAAAACTAAAGAAGGATGGAGAGGATAAAATTATAAATATATTAAATGCTCATTAAATCTGAGATAGTTAAAATCATAAATTACATTAAAGTTTTACATTAAAGTTATAAAATTTTATGGGTCACGGTACCTTCAGCTTCCAATAAGATCTATAAATGAATGGAAAGAATTTTGATTTGAAAAACAAAAATTCAAAATTTTTTACCCCTTTCAATTCAATTTTAATTTTTTCCTCCATCTTTATTTCCATGAAACAACCAAACAGACCAAGATATAATTATATAAAATCCACAAACTTATGTGAAACTTTGTTAACTTATATTTGTTATTTAACTTTGGGTACACAAAGTGGGTTGTTTTCAGATAGGGCCTGTACGAGCTGAGCCCATTGTTTGGCGGGTCTTGTGATTTTGATTTTCGACATTTGAATCGAGCAAGATCATTGACATTGCTATAGATTTAAAAACGAAAACTACGGCGAACTCAGAGCCGAAGATGGATTACGCAGAAATCTACACAGCATCAGATACGTTGGACGCATCCTCCATCTTTCACACCATCTACGACGTCGTAGGGTTCGTCCTTTACATGCACCAGCAGATCCCCTCGTATGTCCTTTCCCATCACTTCAAAACGCCCAAACAAATTTTTTTATTATTTATCAAAAAGATCCCAAACGCGTGGAATTTATTACTTAAATTTCGATTTCTAGCGTTGATGACATTCAATTTATGCAGCACGGTGCAGGATATGAGCGTCGAGTTTGAAGCAATGCATTCGGAGTACAAGCAGCTGGTATGTCATAATTCCGAGTGTAAATTTGCATTTCGAGTCGTTATTGTGGCTTCGATTTGCATGAACCCTGAATTCGTTAACATCAGGAAACGGAGTTGAGAACTGAGGTGAAGCCATCGTTCCGGAGAAAGCACGTTAGCAAAATGAGGGATATCAAGGTCGGAATTAAGAGATTGGATAAGTTGATGAATTCACTTGTGAATATGCAAAACGCGATTAAAATCATGATCAACGAGGTTCCTACCATAGACGGCGTCGTTTTGGCGCTTGGAGCTAGCCCACTTCGACCTCAGCATATTTATGAGTTGAATTTTTCCCATGCGATTGGTGTTTCCAAGGATTCTGATGATTTTGCTAGGAGTAAAGCGGCTGAGAGTCTTTCGAGAAAGGTTCCTTATTGATATATTTTTATGTTCCGGGTTAAGGTGCTATGTGCTTTGTTGAGGAAAGATTTTTGGAGGTTATGTTTCGTGTTTTCTTTAACAGGCGATTCGGACATTGATATCAAAGGGTGCTGGCTCTGTGACCTATCCCGGTAGTTATTCGCTTCTCTAGTCGATAAACATTAAGGTCAATTTTGCTCTGTAAGCACTTATAGATGAAAAAAACAGATAATATGAATTGAACTTCTTCTACAGGTTTTAAGTCAACTTATGCACCTTAACTGCTTCTGAAAAAGTTAGAGGAGAGAATTTCTACAAGTTGATTTTAGCTTATGGAAAGTTCATTTCATTTTTTCTTATTTTCTTCTGCTGTAAGTGTTTATGAAAAATATTATCTAAACAAATTAGTCCTCTAAAGATACATGGTCTTAAAGATGACCCTTCAAAGTTTGGTCTTTCACGGTGCGAAATAAGCATCAAGCTGGAACCAAATTGGTGTTCAGAGACAGTTTGAGGAGGGACTAAATTGATGTTCATTTAAACATGGGGGATCAGATTGATGTCCAAAATCTTTGTTGGATCAATTTGATGTGCCGTGTGTTTTTGAAGGATCAATTTTAGTGTTATCTCTTAATTTGAATGAATTTTCTTTATGTTATCGCATTTTTTGTGTTTCTTTCAATACCACTGTTATACTTAACCTGCTTTTGTGTAGGTCCTATCAGATTGTTTGTGTTAATTAAGGCCCCTTCTTCTTACAATCAGCCCATGCATTTTCTGCCTAAACGTGATTTTAAGTATAACAGAAAGGTAAAATAGCCGACGAGGACACTTTGAATTTATAATTGTCTATTCAAATGTTGGAAATACGTGATCATTTCTGATTGCATAGGGCACCGTATGCTGTATTTGTTAGTCCTTTGTGATGCTCACAATTTCTTTATTTGGTAAAGAAGATAGCAAGTTCTATTTGTATTTGTTGCTTCCTGAATTCAAATATGGCACATATTCTGTTTCATCAGAACCTTGTGAAACTTGTGTTAATTTTCTGCTCGAACTATTTCAATACTCCTGACTTTTCATCATAAAAATAATCATTATCCATTGGAAGCGATTCAATATAAACTGAAGACCTGACTATCTCATTGCTAATATACCTTTAAGCTATTCATACGATTGTTGCTGTTGTACCTACTGATTTCCAGTGGCAGACGGACCCGGGAGTGGTGGAGCAATTAATTTTATAAAATAAAATAATAAGTATTATTATCATATAATATATGAGTCTATACATTCTTATAATAAGTATTATTTTCTTGCAATTTGGAAAAAGAGGTGTGCAAATGCCCACCCTCACATACAAGCAGGTTCGTCATTGCTGATTTCCAATGAAGTTGACACAATTATTTTTCCTGGCACTATGATAGGCTATAGATGTTTCAGACAGCAATCTAAATCTTCCAGTATTTGTAAGGGGGTGTCTGACAACTTCCAAATCTAGCCAACAGGGTGCTAAATAGGACCAATTATGAACTTGTGTAACAAATTAGCAATTGAAACTCAAATTAAATTGAGTTTGGTTCAAAACTAGTTTATGACTGGTTTTAATATAATGTTGTTTGCCTTAAAATTAGAAAACATAAAATAATTTTGATTTCACTGAATTGAGATAATTTCTTTTAATTTCCCATAACAAGAAAAATTTAATGACAGGGGAATCAAGAAAGGGTGGACCAGAAAAATGCGTAGAGTTGAACCTTTTGAAAATTTTTATATTTAACAGGCAGCCCCACTGTACTTACATAAATATATTTATTTTCTTTTGAAGGCTACCAAAGTCACTGTAGGCATTGCATTTAATATAATTCATAAGTTCTATATGTGTCAATGGTTTTAGTTTGGTTCATATTTGTTACAAGTATTGTTTACATTGTTTACTAATAGCCGGCCTAGTAGGATTACATGCACTATATTTTTTATTAAATGATTTGTTTGGAAGGATTGCATGAGTTTATGCTAACTGATTGCATATCCACTACTAGGTTGTGCCTCTTGGGCTACAGTTTAAGTGCCGAAAGCAAGATCGGGAAGTGGCCGCCACTGCTTCAGAAGATATAATCTGGTATCTTTCACAACTTATGAATATGCATCTTGTATATAACAAGAAGTTTTTTGTTTAGATGAATTGCATTGATGCTGCTTACCAATTGCCATTATTTTTACTAGTCTTAACTAAGGTTTTTTTGTTGGAAGTGGAAGAATCCAGCAAACATGTTCCTTCCGTTGATTATTCATTTGACAAATTATGGTTTTAGCAGTCAATTCTTTGATTCTGTGTTTTTTTTTTTTTTTTTTTTTTTTGACATTTAGCGTACAGTCAGGCTTTCTCAATATTTGTGGCCACCCTAAATAGCAGATCATTTTACGTGTACTAATTATTTAGTTTTCCTTTTCTTTTTCGTTGCTGCTTAATGTTTTACATCCTTCTGTTTGTTATAGGTTTCAATGTCGACATGTGATAAAAGGCCTTGCAATGAACACAATGCCGGAAGAATGAAATCCTCCAGTTCAAAGTAAGATAGGAAAACCATGTAAATATTTGATTCATGCTTGAAGCTAATGTTTCCGTGTTGTACACTTAATTATAATGAACACGACGCGAGCTCGTTAATCTGGATGTCATTATCATACAACATCTTTTACGAAGATTACAGACGTTGGCTTGGTAAGAAATGTTACGAATTTGTGCATTGTTGATGTATTAAAAAAGAAAACACCGTCAGGAAAAACAGTAATTGATTTGCAACTCCTCGCTGACATTTGAACCTAAGAATATAGAAGTCGTGATAAAATTCTACATTGTTTTACTAAGATTAGCTCTGGCTTATCATTTAGCCCAAGTAGCTAGGGATGCATCCATGGTAATTGATTGTTAAAGGGGAGTTTTTGAGGCAAACGGTAACAGGTTTCGAGAGCACAGTCTGCTCCAAGCTCAAGGGTAATGGATTTTGAAGATATAATTTAACTATTTGATCTGGTTTGATTAGGACAATGTAGCGTTTAATATTTGAAAATTTGAGACTAACATTATGTCAAAGTCACCAGTTAAAGGTGTGGCGTTTCTGTTGGTGTTACATCATGTGGCATAAACTGAAAACCGTGACACATGGGTTCAATGATGTGGAGTTTATAGAAGTAAGATCCAATCGATTACTTATTTTCTCCTGCTATTTTACGTTTTTGATTTTCCTAATGGGTTTGAAATTATAACCAAAAGGAGTTCATGCAATTTGAACCAGAATGGAGGATCAGGAGTGCCACCATAATGCAGGAAGCTAACACTTCAACTTAACCTCTTGCCTGGTTTAGTTTCAGTAACTAAAACGTTAGCAAATTAATCACTTATTTTAGTTCAATTCTAAATTCGTCTCCTCAACGCTATTTTAATGTTTAAATATTATTTAGGAATTTCGACTTATTTTTACGTATAACTTTTTTGTTTCCAATGATGAAAAAATCCCTTTTTAAATGAGGGGTACGATACAAAAAACTTTTTTGATTGAGAAGATATGATAAAAAAACTTCTCTTAAAAATGAAATGAAAATATCTAACATAATTACAGGTATAAGAACATTATCATATAAAAGAGTATAATCATATTATAGAAAATAAAGAAGTAAAATTGAAAATGATATATTGAATTATATTTATTTGACCAATATTATATAAGAACTCACGCTGATATTGATATCCAATACAACAAACATGACACATATATAGTCAATGTCCATGGTATTTTCCCTTACAAGATCATTAGCCCAGTCGTGAAACTATACTACATGCGGAGGCTAATTAAGGAGACAATGATGGGTATAGCACAATCCCCCCCCCCCACCCCCATGCAACTCCCTGATATTTTACATTATCAATTCACGAACTTAGTTAACCAAATATAGAATGAATTAAATTTTTACACAAACTTAATTATTCATTTGACACACACTCCCCCCATCAACTCCAAATGCATGGTTAAAAATGATCATTGGAAGGCAGTGTGTATGGATCATGGTGGGGAATATGATGGGGTACAATATGGTTTAGGGCATTCTTCACCTCCACAATACTTGCCTTTTTCCCGTCACCATTTTCTTTGACCTTGGCCCTCATCTCCGCCACAAACACTCCATCATCCTTAACCCACGACTGCACCATCATTACTTCCACCCCTAACTCCCTCAACAATGTCATCACATCCAGCAACAACCCTTCCCTATGCACACACTCCATCTCCAACAGTGCATCGCTCTCTATGATTGAAACCTCCACCTCCCTCGCCCTCCTCTTCCCCGCATGCCGCTCATGTCTCTCCAAGCTCTCAATCTTCTCCCGCAGCTGTTTTATGTATTCAATGGTGTCACCCAGAATCGATGCTTTGTCCATTCTGGTTACAAAAGGCACCAACGAACGCAAAATGAGAAACCTCTCATTCAGCTTCTCCCTCCGGCGGCGCTCCGCCATAACGTGGCTGGTCTCGTATTGCGCGGCTCCTTTTCCCTTTAGCCGGTTGGCGTGCAGGTAAGGAACGCTGAAGAGAATGTACTTGAGGAGCCACTGAGAGGTGACGTCCGCCACCGTCATGTGGAAGTGGCCGTGGTAGTCGTCGGTGCCGGAGTTCCATTTATTGAAAGCTGATTGGAAGGAATCAGTGAGGTGGTTGACGGAGGGTGATTCCGGCCACCACCCGGAGTTCTTTTGTAGGATGCTGGATACTGTCTGCGAGTAGTGGGTGTCTGTCTCGCCTTGTGCTATGTTTTCTGAGGGAGGATGTTCTGCAGAACAAGAAAACATTATAAATATCACTTAGAAATAAGTTCCATATAATTTTTAATTATTTATTAATTATATGATAATTTATGATTAAATGATAGTGTAAAACCAATTATTTTATACAGTGTATTTCAATATTGAATTTGATAAAGTAACAATATATATTAACAAAGAAATGGATTTAGTTTTTTTTTTTTTAATTAAACGTTGCTAACAGTTTGAAGTTCGTTATAGCCCTTCTATGTACGTTAAGATTTAACCTAACTACACCTATGGGGGGTTTTAAAGATGTATTGAGGTGTTTGAAAAGGTAGTAAAGTTACTTGACACGCTTAAATCTATCTAAGTGATAAGGAAATGAGTTTAACTTGTCATCATGAAACAAATGGAAAATTGAGATCATGATTAAGTGCTTAGAAGCTACGTTATGTTTTTATTGTAGAACAACCCAAGCAATGGATAATGTGGTTACCTGATAGTTGTAACACAACCTATGTCTCAAATAATAAAATTCCATTTGAGGTAGCTTATATGGTCATAAAACTTCTAGTGTGATTTGTACCTAGAGGAATTGATAGACAAAAGATGAAGCTTACAGAAACTCAAGAAGTATCAATTAGTCAAGGGTCATGAAAAAATTAGGCAATATGCATACAAACATAGAAGATAAGATGGATTTTGAGGTAAGAACTTGGATTACGACCTTGTTGGTAACAATCAAATGACGTTTCCTAGGTATTATGACAACTTGCTAGCAAGGATGCTTCATTGCTTCAATTGTCTAAAAATGTTAAGAATCCAGTCAATAATCATAATTATGAACGTTGTTTGACACAACAATTTATATATATATATATATATATATATATATATATATATATATATATAGATTTTACTTGACTTAACTGCTTACACAAATGCCTATTCAATGTGTTTCAGTTATGAGATTTTTAGGCTAAAATCAGTCACAACTGACTCATTAAAAAAATGAATTTCTATGAAAGTCAATTTCCTTATTATTACTGAGGATAAGACTAATTTAGAAGGAAGGACAATGATAAGATTCCAGACTACTTTGACAAAGACTGTTATCTCAGTTAAATACAATCTTATACATAAAATGGAATGACTTTCTACAGTTAAAATATAACTGGTGTAATGGGAAGACATTTGACCAAACTCGTTCGAATCCAAGACACATCCTAAAAACCACGCACCAAACGAACAACAGGATCAAATACTCGATATTCTCGTCTTGAAATCAAACAGATCAAATGTCTCTCCAAGCATGCAAACTCAATGAGCATATTGGGGCACAGATCGAAAGGGAAGAATGGTTTTCTTGAGTGCGAAACGCACCACAGTGCGATGTGGGTGAGATTTTGAGGGTAATATAGTTCAAATCCTCTTCTTTAAGGCACCCCAGATCAAACTTTCTCAATGATATTCCTATGCAAAACCATGTATGAGAAAGAAAAAACCGCAACATTAAATTTAAAATGCAAAAAAGGAAGAGACAGTTGGCTGATAACGTGGAGACACCAAAGAGTGACACTGCCATTGACTCCTTCGCTAATGAGAATCACAAATTGGAACAATGAGTTTGTGGTATGAAGCAGAAAAAGTGTCGGTCCACGCTGTTGGAGAGATGTGGTGAGTGTGTATACACAACAACAAAAGAAGAAGTTTGAGAAAAAAGCTTGAAGTTGCAACATCAAGGCTTAGGGTGTAAACGTTCAGAGTGGTAGAAAGGACGACATGGATACTTTCAGAAGGGTTGTGAAGGGAGTCAAAGCTTGATGCGTGGAATCGGAGAGAATGGAAGGGAGATTCTGAAAATTTAGGTGTTGTTTTGTGACAAAGGATTAAACTCTTATGTCAGAGGATTGCAATTTCTTATGTCAAAAATCTCTTTTCAATGATTCAAATTATAATTGAAATAAAATAAATTTTGATATTGATTATTTTAGAAGCTATGTAAAAAGAGTTATCTGAAATTAAAATATGTCAGGACGTTATTTTTTGTATCAATTCTTAAATAATTGATGTATAAATTGCGTTTTAAATTATTATTTTTCATTTGAAAAGGTTAAATTAAAAAAAAAATTGACACTCAATTTATATCCATTTTGAGGACTCCATTATAATTATAATAATAGTAATAATTTTTATTAAAAATTATTATATTATATTATCATTATTAAATTGTCAATATATCTTATAAAAGAGTTTTCTATTATCACTACCTAACTTAAAAAAAAAAAGGACGAGAAAGAATGATAGAAGTTAGTTGTGACGATGGGTGGAAAATTACGACGGGTGAAAAAAGAAAATTCTTTATTTCAATAGTAGTCTTTGGTCACAATATATTTTATCATAATAATTTATCTAATTAATGATCTTAAAAATTATTTATTATTTTCATAAAAAAATAAGAAACTAGGGAAACACATGTAAGTGAAATAAAGAGAGAAATTAAAAAAAAAAAAAACCTGATAAATGGAATGATGAGAAGTGAGATAAAAGAAGTTGTAAAAGAGAAAAAATGTTTGAATATTATCTTAATCTATAATATAATTTACCTGGAGGTTGTGGTGGTAGTTGAAGCTGAAGAAGTTCCAAGCCTGCAGAACACAGTGCCATGGATTCCTCCGTGGGGAAGGAATCCAAGTGGTTGGAGCCATCTCCGGGAGACCCGACCCGAAACCCCTCTAACGTGTCCAGCTCCATTAGTTCGGTCGGTAAGAAACTGTTACGAACTACCAATCCTGGTTCGGAATTCAACTTAACTTCTTCTCCTTTATCAACCACGTTCATGTCGTTTTGGTTGGGAATATTGCTGGGCGGTGCAGCAGTGGCAGTGACGACAACAGGGTATGAAGAAGAAGTGGGATTGGAGGTGGAGTGCTCTGACAGTGCAGGCTTTGCCGTCGGAGAGTGCTGATCTATGAAGAAACTCTTTATGTGTTGGATGAAATTTAGGTCTTCTTCCATCTAATTTGTTAGTTGAGAAACATGCATGCATTAAATTTAGGTCATGTTTTGATGAATAAATAAATCTTTGTTTGTTGATTACCTTGTCGGTTGTGCCCAACTCAACCACGCCCTCCAACACAGGAATGCACACCACTGTCTGCAGTTTGCATGGCACAAACTTTAACGTTAGCCAAATGTCTTACTATGTTTCAACTGCTCTCACAAAATTATTCACTTTTGATTTTTCTTCCTATTCAAGAATTTCATTTCATAATGCTTCCATGCAGGCTTTAGTTGTGGGGTCGACCTGATGGCATCACAGGTATAATTTTCTTTTTCATTCATACTTATTGCCCCCATCATCTTAACAGTTATATTTTTTTATTCTGTCTTCTTTTTTCCTATTAGTAACTTTCTGTCTCAAAAATTTTAAGAGAAAAAGTTAAATAAAATAAAAAACTTTAATAATTTGTTTCATCAGTTTAAAATATTTTATTTAAAAATGTTTTTGCCTATTTGATGATATGTATGGATAATAGGTTATATGTCAAAATCTATTTGTCATATTAATTTCTTAATGGAATATATATGTGCCGTTTAATTCAGTTATGTGTCAAATATTTATCATAAATACCAAAATACATAGATAATTTTCAAGACACAAAAGTCTGGTTTTTGTTCTGGAAGCTTTATATGCCAGACTCTGTAGACTGAATCATGGTCTTTCTCAGGTCGTTGTTGACCCCTTTTCTTTTACTTTAATGAATTCCAGGTTACTTATCAAAAAGCTTTTCTAAGAGAGAAAAAGTAAAAGTATGTAACCAATGTCTAAATAGACAAGCTATTGGAAAAAATTTCACCTGAATATGAGCACTCTGGGTGTGGAAGAATTTTCCGTCGTTGAAAAAGGAGACAGAAGAGAAGATGGTTAGTAGTGAAGGTTCTGATATGCGTGGAAAACATGACATAACCATAGTTTTGAAGGGATGAAAAATCAATTATTTATTTAGAAAAAAAAAAGGACACATTGCTTTTTTCTTCTATTCTGTGTCTCTGCAGTGGCTGGGAATTGTGCCCAAAAGTGATGGATAAAGTAATGATTGTGAGTTACTACTGTGTATGTATGTATGAAGTACCTTGGCAAGAATAGCTCTGGAAAATGTTTTGCTGTCTACTTCGTTTGCACCAGTGAGCCATAGATGCTGCCTCCTGGCATATGCTGTTCCGGGCAACCTTATAGTACATCATCAATCAGCAATGAAAAAAAAAAAACAAAAACTAAATGTTTTATGCAAACAAAACCACCACTACAACCCTACCAAAAATTTGAATAAAATAAAAGGAGGTGTAGAATGTAAAAGTCAATAAATCTCTCTCTCTCTCTCTCCATATATATATATATATATATATATATATATATATATATATATATATATATATATTTGTATAAAATAATGTAAAATATATGTATAAAACACATTTCCATTATATTCAATCACCATAGTTTAATTTAACGAGAAACAGTAATTGGATATACTTTCCCAAATGAAAAAGGTATGAAGTGTGAAAACTATTAAGGTGCAGATGAGAGGAAGGGAAAATTGCGATTGAAATTAGAAGAACTAATGAACTGAGCACCAGATGGAAGTTTAAAGTAGAAAATGCAATATGATTCTTGGATTTTAGAGTAAGTCTATATATATATTTGTTGCAACTAAACACTTTTTCAGTTTTATTCAAATGTTCTACACAAATCTACTACTTTACCAAACAATAACATCGTTCCTTTCACAGCAATTGGAGATGTCTAAACAATCCTCATCTTTCAAACAAATGCTATATTCATACTCCAGTTTAGTTTTAATTTTATCCTACTAAGCTATTCATTTTGTTCAAATCGTACTCATCACGGGAAGTCCAAACATGTTGATATTGACTTTCAATTTATAAGAGAATTAATCAGTCAAATCTTCTAAACTGAAACTGCATTCTGTCAGACTTAAATCATTATTTTCTGCTCATTTTTCAAGCTGAAAAGCCTTGAACTGTAACTGGGAATTTCTTAGTCAGTCGTGTATTTTTTATTCAAATAATTTTAATCTTTTTTTGTTTTCGTTTTCCAATAATCTCCCTTTTTCTCTGAACAATGTCTGTCCAGCTCAGTAAGGCTTAACGTTGAAAGGTAGAAGACGTCGAGTATAAGAGTAAGTTACATTGCATGCGTGGCCTTTAGTTAATAAAAGAAAGAAAGAAAGAAAGAAAGAAAACAACATTGCATGCGCACCAAACATCGAAGAATGCATGAAGGGCTCACTAGTTTATCACGCTATATTTCATCCGGGGGAATGAGGTTACAGTGACAAGTTGATTATTATTTTTTAAAAACTAATATAATTAATAGAACTTCTATAAAATAGCTTATATACAAATTAATTCAAGTTTAAAAGACTTCATATATATTTTGGTTTAAGTATCTGCAAACTTATCCAAGAAAAAACAAAGACTAGAGGTACAGACATTGGGGAGAGGGAGAGAAGCTAAATACTTGAGCCTTGAATCCTAGAGACATATTGCAATGTGGTCCATTCAAAGAATTAATACCTGTGGAGAAAGTGGCATGAGAGAGAGCAATACTTTTGTCCAGTTTTGGTTATAACAATCTTGTCTCTTGCTACAAACCATGGTAATATTCGTTCAAAAGGTTAAACGCCATGAAATGGACGCGTGGTCCTTGAACAGTGTCCGCAGTAAAAAATATGCATGCGATGAGGATTACTATGCTAGGAGGACTTGGTGTAGTATGTGGTTAACATACCGCAAAATCGTTCAAAGCCTCTCTCTATCTCTATAGAGAGAGAAGGAAGAAGATGGTGGGTGAAAGGTTAGGATGAGGGCGACTTGTTTGTATTTTTGTTGTGGTGTAACTCTGATTGTATATATGATGAACAGGTTTCAAAACAATCAACTTTTCCTAGTAATTTTCATATAAAGACTAAAGAGTAGATATTATATATACATTTGGATTCGATAACCGCTATATAATATGCAAAAGTTAACATTTCTTAGTGAGTAAAAAATGCATGCATACATGGTTGTAGTATGAACAGTCATTATAGTCTATAAGAGTCTTCTCATGATTATGAGAAATACCTGCAAACAAACACTACATCAATTGTTTAACTAGATTGAATAATAAAGTTTTTTTTTTTTTGAAAAAATATCAAAATAAACTTTTTATAATACATTCCAATAAGATTTATGGTCAAATTTGTGAAACATTTTTATAAGATAAGAACTTTATGTTAGCACAATTGGTGGGATATTAAACTTTTCTAAGGCTAGCTAGAGTCTCGAGTTCTGTTATTGCTTTATGTGAGTTGCGTTTTTGGAGGGAAAAAAAAAGAAAAAAATAATGTATATTTTCTTCGAAAGATTGAAGCTGTAAATAATAGCAATTCCCTTTTTCAATTGGCTTTAACTAAAGTTAGGGCTAACAACTGTGTCTGTCTGCCTTTATACAATTCATCGGGGGCAACTTTATTTTCTGCGAGAAGAAAGAAAATTTTTGTTTTGCTTCGAATTCTTCAAATCATCATTGCAAATTTCTTTCTCTATTAGCTTTAGCTAAAGTTGAGCCTCCACCGACTTATACGAATTAAATCTAGATTGAGTTTTAAATCTAAAATTAGTTATAATTACAAGAATGATTAAAATAGTGGGTACCATTTGTGAGTGAATTTGGAGTAAAAAAAGGATAATTTTATAAGTAATTGTTTTCATAATTTATTTAAAATTGAACAAAGGAGTGTTCCATAACAATGTAGTCAAGCGTCGTGATCTATATTGAGAAAGATAATATAATAAAATATTAGCTGATCACCCCGAAAAGCAAGAATTTCATTTCATTTTAATGCATAGCTGAAAATTTTGAGAGTCTTTAAAACGAATAAAGAAGTTTTCCATTAAAATCATTATGCAGTTTTCTATAATAAATATAATAAAAATAATTTCACTTTAAAATACAAGGATTTTATTATCCTATATAAATTAGAAAACAATTATCAACGGTAAAATTTGATACCCTAAAAAGAAAATAGATTGAAAAGTAACCTCAATCCCAAAAGTAGAAACTCAAATCTCTTACAAACACAACCTCTTTGGACTTTATTGATAGCATTATTTGATCAAGTGGGAAGAGAGAGTGTTCGATCTCAAAAGTGAAACCTATCTATAGCTAGTTTGTTGTTTATAGCTGCAGTTTAGATGTAGCTACGATCAATCACTCTCCCACAAAAATGAAACAAAAATCAAAGATTCCGAACGCATTTGATTCAATGAATGAGAATGATGAATTAACTTAAAGATCAGAAAAAGTCGAAGGTTTGATTTAAAGGAATTGACTTACCCGACACCAGGATGAAAGGAGAAAGAGACACACAACAGATAGAACCATTCTGATTCCGTTAGATCCTCAGGAGACAAAGAAGCACATGGTCTTCGAGTTTGCGGGTTTGTTTCTCCAGCAGACAAAGATTCATATAACTCTCGAAGTTGTTCGCTTCTTTGCAGAGACGCTTCCTCAGTGCTAACTTCCATTGCTTGAACTGTCTTCCTAGTCTTAATTGCTCCATTGTAGTATCCATCACCCCACGTCAAAATCCTATCAGAATCAACCACTTCAAACTCGTTATTCATCATCAATTAACGTCGTATACATACTCATATTAATTCCAATAAGCATAAAGCTTAGACTGATCATGAAAAATATAGTTTCTATCATACTGCTTCAATTCCATATGTGAAAATTCGTCGCATCAGCAACCAATAACGAATAAAATTAATCCAAACACTTCTTCTAACGCAGATCAAAACTTGAATCAGAAATGTTTACTTTATCTAATAGATATACAATTTGTGTAACTAACACAGTTAAGAAAAGTGGGTTTGAATTTGATAAAATGGAGAAGTTTTGGGTGGTAGGTAGGTACCCTTGTTGAGGACAAAGTTGCCAGAAGAGGCTGTAAGTCCACTGAACTGATTGAACTGCAGCCCTTAACATGCTTTGAAGCCTGCTATTTGGCGGTGCAGCCATTTTTCCTTCTCAGCAGCTACCACGACCAGGATTCTTTATCTACCAATCTCAGATGAGAGAAATTGTTGCTACGCGGTTTCCAAAATAAGGGAACAAGCGATGATGGATCTTTGGACTTTGTCGTTATCGATGAGCTGAAAATCAAACATATTTAGCACCAGCAACAACAACATGAACTAAGGCCATCTAATTTAAAGACGAAGTTAAAACACAGTTAATTACACGTTGGTTTCTCTGTGTGCCTAAGAAAAAAAAATGGTTTAAGAAAATTATGACTTTGAGGTGAGAATATATAATATAGAGAGTAAGTGAACGGTGTCATTTCTTTTTTATGTTATATCATGTAAATTTTATACATACATGCACATTTTTCAACAGTGCAAAAAGTAGCTTTTCTTTTTCCCTTTTATATAACATTTCAATTACACAGTTAGAATACTATATATTAAAATTACACCATTTAAAATATAAACTATGTAATTAGTCGTTTTAATGATAAATTAAAAATATAATTTTTATTTACCGAGAGAGTAGTAAACAAATTATAATCATTGAACGTATGAGTTACTATTTTTTTACTTAAATTTTCACAATTTAAAATATTAAAAATCTTGGAATTAAATTAAATTTTATACAAAACAAAATGTAGAAGTTGATTACTATCATCCAAACATATACGAATGTCTTTGTCATTCTTCAACTCACACAAACTAATCACCATGTTCTCAAAATTAATGAGCACTTAACGAATTCTTTGACGTAAAAAGATGAGATAATTTTAGAGAGAAATGGTGACATAAAATATCTAAATACTAGGTATTATTGCTGTATTTCATTTCCTTTTTTTCTCATTTTTTTCAATTAAAATATCTCTATTTCTCACTTTCTTGTAAGCAAGAAATATACAGATGTAATAAAATATTTATTAGGAAACTCTTTCTGAAACTAAGAAAAAAAATATACTGTTATTTTAAGAGAAGGAGTATGCATGGAAAGAGAGAGAAGAAGTGATTTTTGGTGGCGGATAAGTTAGTTCCGAGGAGGTAAATGAGGGTGGAAAATGATCCTCCAAACATAGTGGAAGGCTTCGTAGCTTTCTGGTCGTCTTTTGACTGGTTGCTCTACCAGACAGTTTCGAATGTTTCGGGAAGATGTATGTCCCAATTTGTAGCAATTCTTCTAGATATATCGCTACGGTTCCTTGTCCTTATCGCTGTAAAAACTTCACTTAGTTGTATCAAATTTATTCAATATAACTGTAACAAAATTATAACTCCAATAAAAATAACGATAATTTATCTATATTGAATATAGTTTAAATTAAGTTCCTCAAAAATAAAAATAAAATTATGATGTTTTGTTTACTAAAATATTTTACTTATCTAAATTATTCTGTCAAAAGTAAAAATCTTTTAACTCCACAACTTGGTGGATCATTTTTTTTATGCAATGATAATGTCAGAGGTGAATTTATGTAGACTTTGCTTTTAAAGGTAAAAATAATAGATTATTTTTAAGGATAAAAAAATATTATCACATAAATTACTCACTGGTAAAAAAAAAAAAAATCAAATATACTGCATGCAAGATAATTAATAGAGAATTGGGTGGCAGCAACGTTACCAGGAGTTGGGTTCTGAATTTAAATGAATTAATGCATGTTATGTTACATGACTTCTTAGATTTCACATCAAATTAATTCATTAATTTTTATTTCGTTATTTCAATGTTATATATTTAACTTATTTTTTATTCTAACATATTTTTGCATCAAAGGTATGCATCTATTTTAAAAATTTATCAAATTAATCATATATTTATGTTTATTCTAAACATTCTTAATTGTTTTTAGTTTGATCGAAATTTAAAATTTTGGAATTACATGCGAGATAATAATATATTTAAAATTTAATCATATAATGTATTTAAAAAGAATAATACAAGATAAAAAAAACGAATATATAATAATGGTTGATGTGACGATAAAAAGAAAATTAAAATAAGAAAAATTTAATAAAAATGAGATCAAAGAAAAAAAAATTGTAATTTTGATTCTTCTGATCGTACCCCACAGAATGAATGAGTAGATCTATTATTATTTTTCGTGGACCACCACCATGCATCTTCTATTAAGTTACGAATCATATTCATATTATTACTTTTTTTTCTTATAAACACAGTCATAATTTTTTTTAAACTATGTTATTATTATTATTAGTAGTAGTAGTAGTAGTAGTACAAATATAGATACAATAGTGTCTGTCACATTAAAAAAATATTAAAAAAATAGTTATCCAGATATTAAAGATAAAATTATATTTTTTATTATTATTAAAGGGTATTTAATATTTATATTAAAAGCTTTAAAAGCTTTACTTATCATAGGCAATGTTTTAATTAATTGTTAATCAAAATCCATTTGTAAGTCTTTCTGCAACATTATGAGTCTTCATTCTATGCATCTTTATCCCATTAACTCACTCTTTCTGAACACTATAAAAGCAAAAGATGGTCCAGTCTATGGTTGAATCTCTTTTTTCAGGGTTCTTTTTTCCCATTCCATATTGCCTTAGTTTCCTATCATTATTTTCTCCCCTTTTTGAACATTATATTGTGAAGGCTCGAACGTGCTTTTCACCATATGAGTGCAGAGTACACATGCATTGTTGTGTTAATTTCAAAGTACAAATATGATCATAAAGTGGAGATAGATCAAAATTTTCCTTTCAAGATAGTGATAGTGCCATGCGATAATTATTGAATTCTACCTTATTTTTCCATAAATTTGCAACATAGCATTCGTTCTTCAGTAACTTTCTACCCTCTAAAAGCCAGAAGAATTCGACCTTATGCAGGTACAGAAAAATTGTACAATACACATCTAACGTTTGATGTCAACTATTTCTTAAGAGTTTTAATTAAAATACATTTGATTCTTATACGAATTAAAACTAACATTTTAAAATATTTTGAGTGAAAAAACCATATTAATTAACCAAAAATTTAATATACATGATCAAAACCAAAATAATTAGTAATGAAAATATTTTTACTCAATAACTCTGTTGTAAGTTTACTCAATTAAAATTGAGGGCTCCTTTGAATTTGAATGAAACAATGAAACGTAGGCCACTGGGTCTAACAGTTTACTACTTGTGGGGCAGCAGAAGAGACACAGGTACACTCACTGTTCTAAATTGAGACAAAAAAACGATAATTGTTCCAATATATTTATGATAATAGGATCTATGTTGTAGGTATTTACCATTTTTTTTAATAAATGAAGAGAAAGATATATGTAAATTATTTATTAGGTTAATTCGATGAAATTCATAAACATAAATAAATAAATAAAGTGAAATAGTTATATAATTGACGAAGCTTTGAAGATTTTGATCTTATTTAAATTGTGATTTTATTCCCTTAAACATCCGCGACCATTTCCATGTGCATTGAAACAGGTGGTATTCTAGATGATGTCTCGTAATTTTATTTTATTTTTCTACTTTACTTTTGGCTTGAAGAAGAGTATATACTTTTACTTTAAAGTTTATCACATTTTGGAATGATGCTATGTCTTATTAGCTAACTTTACTGCAGCTTAATGATTACTTGAATTAAATATTAACTAAAAAGTAAATCCAACGTCTTGATACCATACATTTAGTTATAGGATGATTCATTGAGATATCATATACAGAGAATTATTGAATTTGGTGGGGACATGTGAGAACAAATGTTTTAACTTCACGTGCTTTCGGTATCACAAGTCACTTTCTTTGTGGCACCACATAAACCATGCATAACTGTATCAATGCTTTGGTTTTTGCAGTGCCACGCGTAATTTACCTTATTTACTTGAGGTTGACCGTGAATAATGGAGCTAAATTATTGAAAGCAGTAATTAACTGTTCATCTTAGCCTCAGGTTTAAGGGTAGATTTATGTTGATGATGATGATGCTAAAAATATTTTTTGGTTAAATGATTATTAGTTCGTCCAAAAACAAAACAAAAAATCTCATTTCATCCTTATATTTATCCTTCTTAGAATTAAATTGAGATTTTTTTCACATGCTTTTAAGAAAAATGATGTTTTCCTCAATACAAAAACACACTAGCAAATCATCAAAAGAAAAATTTTCAAATTTATATTTTAAACTTTGAGCACAATCAAACCATGAACGACACAACTTTGAGATCAGAAAAGCAACTAGGATGATATCGGTCAAACAATCCCTTTTAATTTCATATCATAAACAATAATTTAAAATTCATGAATCTGATCAGAAATAGATTTATTATCAATCATTTTTTCACACGAATATATGTTTAAACCCTTTTCAGTAGACCCATATTTTAATTTAAGTGTTTTCCATAGCTCCTCTACAACAGTTTTAGTATGACAAAATATTTTATAAATATGATCACATCATGCTTAGTGTAGAAGAATTTGTATCATCACTTAATATAATAGAATAATCGCTAGTTCTAGTTTCTCTTTTACCCATTACATAAAACAGATGATGTCTGTAATTTTATTTTTTATTTCTTGATATTCTTTAAATTAATTATTTCTTTTATAAACCATGTAATTAACACGTTTAAAAAAACATAATATAGTTCAATTTTATTTAATTTGTTATATTTAATCAATCAAAAATTAATGATTGCGATAAGTTAATTTAATTAAATTAAAGACCATTTAGAATGAGAAAGAAATCAAATTATTTTATCCAATTAGTTCCAAAATTTATTCATCACCAACTATAACAACACATAAGTAAAGAAATATTTAATTTTTATTATAATTAATTTACAGATTATTTTTTCTTGCTCAACTCTTATAAATAAAAGTCATGACAAGAGCAAAAACTCGTCTTGTGGTCTTTGATCCTCTTCTTTTCTCAATTTTATTCTCCAATATAAGTTTAGATTTTGTTACTTTGACGAACTCTACTATTTTCCTTTTCCAGTTTTTCTTTTATATAATTTTAGTTTG